TGGGAGGGGGAGGTGGGCAGTGTGAGAGGCAGGCACAGACCCAGGAGAGAAAGGCGAGGTTTGGGCCTTATTTGCTGCCCCCTGCCACCCCATAAGCTGTTGACTCCTGGGACATGTCACATTCATCTCCGTAGCTCCCCTCTCCTGGCCACCCAGCACCGTGAAATTGACCCACCCGTGAGACCAGGGGCTGTGTTCCAGGCACATCTGCGCAGGGCAGAGAAGTTCAGATAATAATCACTGAATGAATTAGCAACTGCCTGTGGGTGCTGAGCCTCCATAGGTAGAGCTTCCAAAAATGGCACCGAAAGTGAGAGTGACCCAATCACAGAGCAGCTTACAGAGCGCTGTCACACCAACCGTTCTGTCTGGGTTTTGCAGGAACTATGTGGTAAATACAGTCATCTCCATGTTACACATCCAGGGGGACTTTCCCCTGGTCACACAGCCGGCCTGTGGAAACTTGTCGCTCTGACTCCATAGCGCATGTCTTTTCTGTCCACCACACGGTGACTCAGGCTGTCCTTTAAGGACTTGCCCCAGACCTGGGGCAACGCAAGCATGCCAACCCAAAGGGCAGCAGCGGCTGCAGCTGTTCCTAGGTGTCCTTCTGTCCTGGGCCCCTGCTTGCCTCTGTCAGAGCGCTGGCCAGGCAGCGCAGGGGCTCCAGTGGAGCATCCAGCCTCCCCTGCAGGGCCTGGCCCAAAGCAGGAGCTCCCCTGGGAGAGACCAAAGGTGGGACCTTTTAACCTGTCTGAGGTTTCCCCCACACTCTCCAGCCCTAGCCAGCCCTGCACCTGACCTTCCTCCTCCTTGGCCATCCCGCACTTCGGGGTGAGAGCAATCCCCACCAGCTGGAGGAAGCCAGGGCACCATCGGGTGCAGATCTCACCATCAGGATCCCCTGCCAAAGCCCAGGCTCTCTGGCCTTGTCTGGCTCACTCATCAGCCTGGGGTTCTGCAGCCCTGGGTTCAAATACCAGTTCCTCCCCATAGCTGTGTAGCTCAGCCAGCTTCTAGGGTGTGCAACGTGTGTGTAGCCCAGGCCCCCACCCTTAGAAGGGCCCACGATGGGTTTCATATTCCATCTCTGTCTTGAAATTCTCAGGAATTTTAGAACAAGAGCATTTCATTTTTATTTGGCACTGGGTTCCACAGATGATGTAGTGATTCCTGCCTGGACAGGCAGTGTCACTTCTCCATGCCTCAGGGGCCTGTCTGCTTCTGCACTGGTGCGTGGGGCTGCTTAAGGCCTGCTAAGGCTGGTGGATGACAGGTGCCTTGTCCACTACAAAGGGCTGTTTTGTTCCATGATCTCTGCAGGTGGTGAGAGAAGGCCTTTAGAAAGAGTTCTGTAGCTCTCATCTAGAGTCTAGACTGGAGGGCTCCCAGGGTCCACAAGGAAATTCTGTCTTCAGGTCCCTGGATGGAGCTCTGGGAGGCTGCACTGTGCCCTCCTCCCCTTCCCAATCCCAGGCGCCTGAGTCGCCCTCCACAAGTGTTTCTGGGTGGGAGAGATTCCTCATGGGGCCATAATGTCAGCCCCTGGGAAGGGACAGAGGCCAGGGTGGGACCCAGAGAAGACCCCTGGGTGAGGGGGAGGAAGATGCGGAGCCCACCCTAATGTCCCCACTGGGCAGAGCGGCTGCTGCCACAGCCTCTGGCCCCTGTTTGCCACTTGTATTTAGAGTGGTCACGCCGTGGTGACGGTGGCCTGCTTCCTTACTGTCTCTGTGACAGCAGCGGCCTAGTACCAGGTCTGGGAGGCCTCTGATCCTGGGGACAGGAGAGGTGAGGCTGTTTTTTGAGACTCTCAGAGATGGGGGGCTGGGGTGATGCCCAGGCCAGTTGCCGTGGAAGCAGGGGCCTCCTCAGCAGCTGCACTAGAGCCTCTGCTTGGAAACCAGGGACGAGGTGCTCAGCCCCACCAGGCCCATGTGTCCTGTCGCTGTAGACTTGGGTCCCAGCCTCCACTTCAGCCCAGAGCACCTAGGTCAGCTTCTGTACCCGGCTTGCATTTACAGTGAACATCTCAAAACCTCACAACATGGCTGAGGTGGACACCACAGAAGCTGCCATCACTGTGTTGTAGAGGAGGGATGGAGGCTCGGGCAAGAGGCTGCAGCCTGCCCCAGTCCCCACAGCAGGAAGAGCTGAGGGTGGGCCCAGGGCCAGACTGCTCCCTCCACTCCTCCACTCCACCCTCCCTGCCTCCACCCTCCTCCCTTGGCAGAGAACATCCCGGGGACTGCTGGCTCCCAGCACTCTTACATGAGCCCAATATGGGCACAGTTCTCTGGCTGCCCAGGGTAAGGCAGTGGTCTGGAGGAGGGACCGTGGGAGGCAGTGACAGTCACAGGAGGACAGCAGCAGCCTGGCCACAGTAAGAGCAGGGGCCAGAGTTGGGAAGTGCTGGGGAAGCAACAGGCCCAGGCCCTGGGTCCAAGGGGGAGGGTGCTCTTTGTTTTCAGCTTGGGGCAGATAGGGGTAGCATTCCTGCCCACAGAGAGCACTAGAGGAGGAGCTGCACAGAGAGCACTAGAGGAGGAGCTGCTGGGGGAGGATGATGAAGAGTCCAATGGCATGTGCTTGGTGTTGGGTCCTGAGCTGCCAGGTGGGTCCCTGCCTGAAAGGAGCCCAGGGGGTTAGACTCAGAAGAAGCAGGCCCCCTCCGGTTCCTGATGCTCTGTACCATGTCCTCTTTAGGAAAGTGGAGGGCACAGGAGCCGCAGTGGGGGCTGGGGGGAGCAGGAGAGTGGGAGGTGGAGCTGGGCCTTGCCCCTGGTGACCATGTGGCCCATGCTGTGGAGGAGGATGGTCAGCACCCAAGAATATCCCCTAAGGGACTAAGAGCCTGTGTTCAAAGCCGAATGTTTATGAGTCAGCCATGGACGGAGGCAGCTCGGGAAGACTCAAGCTGCCTGGTCCAGAGATCGGGTGACCTTTGGGGTGGAGCTTCCACATCCAGTTAGGGGCTTTAGGGAAGAGAAAGACCTCTGGGATTCTTAGAGTCCATTTGGTTGGATCTGTTTCTCAGAGTCACAGCGCCTGCACCGCACCGCACCTCACCTCCACCTCCACAGAGACCCAGTGCCCCAGCCCCGCCTTTTCAGCGCCTGTCTCCCCCGACCATCTCACCCGCCATGTTCCCCCATCTCTCCAAGGCCTGAGTCTTAATTATCTCCACCTGGAAAACAGGCATGTTCTCGGACCCCTTTCCAGAGAGGCTCTCCCACAGGAAAAGCTGAGAAGGTGGGAGGGGGAGCCCATTGGCTCCTTGATTCAGGGGTGGGAGGCAGGAGTTCCCTCTCTGGTTGTCAGCCCAGGGAGGAAACCAACATCTATCGGGCAACTACTTCGTGCCAGGACCCAAGCCAGGCACTTGTAAGCGGGTTGATTTGACCCTCCCCTCTGCCTTGGAAGAGAAGGCTGGTCACTTCCAGGTGTGAGTGCTGAGGTGCAGCCCCAAGGGGTGGCTGCCTGGGTCGCTCTGTGAGTGGCAGAGCCAGGACTCATGCACTGGCCTGCCACCTTCACTGTCTGTCTGGGGCTTCAGGGGGCTCCTTTGGAGGTGGGCTCCAAACCAGGCCTTGAAAGATGAACAGGAAGGAGTCGTCCGAGCCCTGGAACCAGCACACTGCCATGGCAGGAGGTGGGAGGGCAAAAGACTGGTTCACAAAAACTGTCCATGCCCAGCTGAGGTCCAGGATTTGAGGAGACACACAGAAGGAGGAGCCAGGGTCAAAGCCCCCCACCTTCCACTGGGAGCCACAGCTCACCCTGCGGTGGTGATGGCTCCATGAGCATGAGGAGGATGCCAACCACTGCAGCCCTGCAGAATCTCAGATGCACACTCGCTCACACGCACATACACAGGGAACATGAGGTTTCCTTCTCCCCCCGCACACTCCTGCAAGGTGAAGTTCAAAGGAAAGGCACCATGCATTTGATGTAACTAGCCACAGGGAGTCCTGACAGCTGAGGGTATATATTCATTTATTCTCCCCAACCTGCAGAAACGCAGACCCCACAGCGCAGGAACAGAGGAAACCCATTAGGGACACCCTTCAGGAAGAAGACACACCAGGGCCAGGAGTCCAGGTGACGCCGGCGATGGCAGGCAGGGGAATCCAGGTTCCGAGAGATGTGCGCCCACTGGTTCTCCACCTCCTAGCAGCAAAGCGGAGAGGGAAGCCCACACAGCCACAGTTTCTACAAGTTAAAAGCCTGCCAGATGCTTGGGAAGAAACCCAGGTGGCAGAGATCAGAGGCCCAGACGAGCCCCCGGCACCCCGGTGCGCCAGCTCTGCCAGCCCCTTCTCCAGGCCTGGGGAGGATCACTCTCACGGCACGACAGCTTCAGTGACCTCCGTTATGCCCCAAGCCACTCTAGCCCCTTTGAATTTTGCAAAAAAAAAGCACTAGGCAAGCTTCAAGTGGACAAAAACCAGATGCCATTCACTGAGAACAGATGTTGGGCTGAAAGCCTCATCACCGTGATGGATGGCATGCGGGCCCTGAGAACCTCCACCTCAGCTCCCTAGCCCAGGCCACAAGCCACTCCATACTGAGATGCATTTGGGGACCCCCGTTGCCTCCAAGTAACCTCTAGCCTGAACTTGGAGTCTGAGTCCAGGAAGGTCAAAGTTTTAGGAATCTGGCCCTGGGCAGTTAAATGCAGCCAGACCAGTCTGGACCCAGATAGTAATTTTGACCCTGTTAGCAGCAGCCGCTACATTAGCACAGCCTCTGCAGTTTGCACAGTGTACTCATCCTCATCACATGACCCACAGGAATGGTGTCATTCACCCATTTCACAGATGGGGAGCTTGAGACTCAGAGAGGCCACGCAACTTCCCTAGAGCCCCACAGCCAGAGGGTATATCAGAGCCAGAGCTTGAACCCAGGTCTCCTGTCTCATAGAAGATCTCTCCCCGGACGGGGAAAGGCGGTGGCTTCTGCCCAAGGAGACTGAGGTCTCTGTCTCTTTCCCTCTACAGAGACGTGCGCGGTCAATAACGGAGGCTGCGACCGGACTTGCAAGGACACGGCCACTGGCGTGCGATGTAGCTGCCCCGTTGGATTCACGCTGCAGCCGGACGGGAAGACGTGCAAAGGTCAGCATGTGGAGCCATGTGGGCGCCCCTGCCTGTACTGGCCTGGCCAAGGGCTTCCGTGTGCTTGCACAGCTGGGCCCAGGGCTGGGCTGGATGGAGGCCATGTGTGGCTGTGGGAAAGGACATGCAGAAATCATTTGCATTGCTGTTGGAGAGGCCAGGAAGAGGGAGGGCCGGCCATCAGCGGGGTCCCCAGCAGGGTTCGAGAGAACGGGGTCCCATGGCACATCTGCAGTTCCTGGGTCAAAAAGACACTGATGTCAGAGAATGTGGCTGCATGCTGGGTTAAACAGTCAAGCCAGCGTCTCTCCTGTGGGGCGTCCTGGGCCCTCCGTGATAGTGTGGCTTCCCAAGGCAGGTGGAATGTGGTGCGTTTCTGAACCTCTTGACCTTTGGTTCCAGTGGGTCTGGCAGAGTTGGTGGGGACGGTCTGGTGCAGGGCCATTTGGGACATGCAGATCTACTCAGGCCAGGAAAAATAAGGACACTGTGTGTCACTACTAGAGGAGCGAGGCTGGGGGATCCCATCTGAAAAAATAAGGACTCAGGACTTCTGCTGCCATTAGAAAAGGGGTCCGGAGGATCTGAGAGTGATGTGGCTGAAGGAAGGAGGGACCGGGCTGGGCTGCCGGCGGCTGGCGGAGAGGGACGGCAGAGGTGTATCTTCCCACTCGTCCTGAGCCACCCCATGAAGACTTCCTGAGTGCCTCCTGGGTTGAGGGGCCTCTCGGGAAACAGGAAAGCTGGGGAGCTGGGAGAGGAGAGCTGGCCGCACTCTCGAGACAGGCACTGGGGAAGGAAGGAATAGACTGGCCCTGCAGCCCAGGAGGTCCAGCTACCCCAAAGGTCGGACGGAGCCCTGAGAAGCCGTGGTACTGGGGCAGGGTGTCAGACCTCAGTGCCAGAGCCCCCCCGTGCAGAAGGTTGAGCGGCAGTCACTCCGTGCTCCCGGCATGGCTCCAGATCCCCCCAGTTCTAAATCCCCCCAGCTCTGGGCAGTCCCCCAACTCTTTGCCAGGAAGGGAGAGCCTAGAGAGCAGGGCGTTGAGGGGAGAGGAACCGGCACTTCCAAGGTCCAGTCAGGGAAATGTTGAAAGTCAAAGTTAGGGTGACCTAAAACAGTCCCAGGCAGGCTTTTTTAAAGCCCGTAAAAATAAGTGTATTTTTGTACAGTGTATGACTTCTTCCTGCCAACTTGCTGGGAAGAACCCAGTGACTATTTACAGAAATAACAGTGCTTCTGCCTGTTTATTTGAAAATAAAGCCCTCCTGTGGCTGCTGCGCGGCCTGTTAATAGCCTTGGTGCATTCCTGGCAGGCAAGTGGGCAGGTGGGTGGCGTCTGGGTCCTTGCCACGTGACTCAGTGCCAGGAGTGACTGGCCGAGGAAGCCCCAGGTCTGCACAGATCTGGCCATCTTCACAGCCTGGCAGTGGCACAGCCTGCCAGCATTTGCCTTCAGAGGGCCAGAAGGCCAGGCAGAGCTTAATTCCTTGGGCAAGGCCAGGGATGCTGGAATGGGGTCTGGAGGCCAGGAGCCACCCTGTCTGGTCCAGTGTGGGGCCTGGGCAGGCATGTGGCTCAAGAGGGAGCTACGGGCATGAGACTGCCACCGCTGCCCTGCCCACCCCTTGGTAGCCCAAGGGACACTCGTTTCCTGCCACTCTAATTGTGGCTCTGAGGTAGGGTGGTGCTAAGGAGTGCTGTCCACAGCCCCAAGGCCACCCCCAACCCCACCCTCACGACCTTTCCTTTGCTCTTGAAACAGTCGGGGCCTTTCACCAAGACTGCCCTACTCGGCCCTTTGGCCAAACCCCCTCCATGGACGCCCAGCCCTAGGCCTGTGGCTGCACTCAGAGCCCTAGGGCCCTGGCTCCCGCTGGCCGAGGTCAGAGGTCATCTCACTCACTCACGGGATAGGTTTGTTTTCTGGTTCCAGTGAGACCAGATGAATAAAAGAGACGGTTCCCACTTGTAGGGTCCTCTACTGAGCACAGAAGACATGTTTTCATTTGTAAAATCACTAAGATCATTGAGTATTACAGATGGCTTGGTGTGGGATAGAGAAGTTCAGTGTGGCAGGAGGTGGGGACGTGGGGGCAGGGAGGGCTGAGGGAAAGGGGCATTTATCAGGCGATGGTGGGGGAAGGGAAGCATTTCCAGCACTGTGACTGTTACCAGAGGCCTGTGGCTTCAAGGACCTGGGACTGGGAAGGATGCAAAGGAAGCGAGCCAGATGGCACAAGGCCGGGGACCACCCTACAAGCCTGGTCGGGTCCCAGTCAGCACCAGACAGGGGAGGCTGGTGCCAGGTTTGCATTTTGAACTGATCGGTGGCCATGGCAGGGTCATGGTTGAGTCTGGAAGAGCAGCCAAGCACAGCTCCTGTCACTCAGGCTCAAGGTGGCAGTGCCAAGGCAGGACTGGCAGACATGGAGAAGGCAGAGATAGACATGTCCATAGATGCCCATATTTAAGCGCCCAGGGACTGGCCCAGAACTGCCCCCAAGACCACCTCAGGGAGCCCAAAAGTGCAGCTGGAGCCTGCACTTCCCTCAGGGACACCGGCCCCTCTTGCCAATATCTTCCAGAACGTCTGGGAGAACCCCCACCTACTGCCTGTTTCCTGTCCTCCCTCAGCAATGCCCTGGGTCAGGCAGGCCACAGCCAGGGCTTTTACCCAAGTGGTGCCCTCGAGTGTCCACCACCTGGCCAGCCCCGGCCAGCAGCTGGCCCTCCCTGCTGGGCACTCCAAGATGGTGCCACCCCATGACCCTGTGCCCTCCCTGTGCTTCCATCCCAGAGCCCTCCCCTATGCGGCCCCCTATATGAGATGGGCAGGAGGAAGCCAGAACCAGGGTCCCACGCATCCCTATAGCTCACCCCATTGCCCTGCCCCGTGCACACGCACTCGAGCTCCAACCCTGGAGTCCACCCAAATAGTCCACTCGGTGGCCCGAGGCCCTTCCCCTCCCTCAGCCCTCAGACCCCTCTGTTGTCTGGGGTCACCCTAACCCATTCATTCCTTCAGTGAGTGTTCCCAGATACTCACTCATGCTGGGCGCTGGGGTGACAAGCAGGAGCAGAAACCCCAAGTCTGTGTCCCAAGGCCCTGTCATGTCCTCAAAGGCAGTTCCCATGAAGAGGGAGCTGCTGGCTCTGTAAAGAACAGTGGGAAAGGCTGTTTTTCCCAGGACTGAGGTCAGCAGGTGAGAGGGGACTGTGGCTGTACTGCGTGTGGTCACTGGAGTCCAGGCTGCCAGGGCAGGAGCCGAGCAGGCAGGAGAGAAGAGGCAAGGCAGCCTGGCAGGGCTGGAAGGGACACACTGGGAGCCTCTGCAGAGCCAGGGCCCATATCCTAGCAGACTCAGGGGCCTCAGAATGCTGGCCTGCAGGCAGGGACTCAGCCAGATGTGTGTGTGGAAGGTGGTGCTGGCTGCCTGGTGGGGCTGTGGGGTGGGAACCCAGGGAGGAGTGGAAGGGGAGGGAGGCAGAGAAGCGGCACCCTAGGGGCTCATCAGAACAGGCTCAGGGGCCCCATGAGCCCAGCACCCCCTTGGGGAGAGAGGCACAGAAGCTGCACCCCCAGGACTCATCTAAACAGAGCTCCAGGGGCCCTGTGAGCCCAGCACCCCCTTCACAATATCCTGAGGTAGTGTGAGGAGGGGGCTTTCCTCCACCCTGACCCCCAGGCAGCCAGCTACACCAGCCCGGGCCTCAGGCAAACATGTCTCCCTCTGCCTGTCTGGTTGCTATGACAGCCCCTTAGCAGACAGGCCCAGATGGGGCAGGGGATGGGGCTGGGGGTTCTAGAAGGCCCGAGGCTGTACTGAGGAGGCAGGAGTGGTGAGAATGATCATGTGCTGTCGCTGTCTGTGCAGCAGCCTCAGCTCACTTCAGTTTGCTAAGGATGCTGGGAGAGGCAATGCTGGGAGAGGCACCATTTAGCAGCCTGCTTAGCAGATGGAACCCCGAGGCTCAAAGAAGTGCCTTTCCCTGCCCAACGTCGCACAGCCAACTGAGGCAGAGCCAAGGTGGGCCTCTGTTCTCCTACCTGAGGCTTCTAGCTAGCAGTTCCCCTATCTGCCTGTAATCCCAGGGTTGGAGGGGAAGGGGTGAGAGAGGTGCCCAAGTGTCTGCCCCAGACCAGGCGCAGCTGGGGTTAGTATCGCTTACTCTGGTGGCTGCAGAAGGCCTGTATTTGGGCTCAGATGGTGCTGGCTGAGATGCAGCTCCTGCATGTGACCTCATCTGTAAAATGGGAGCCCTGCTCTCTGGGTTGTTTTGAAGGTCACATGATATGTTACCAGAAAGTGCCTGGCATGTCCCTCCACAAGGCTCTAAGAGTCACATGGGCATCTCATCCCCACACTCATCTGACATCCTTGACCAGAGACTTGACCTCTAACGTCGTTGTGTTGTCATCGGTGGGGAACGTTCCCTGGGAACACTGCTGGAGGACTTTGGGCAGGTATCCAGTCCCACCTGTTTGGATTGAGGAAAAAAAAGTCAGCGCGACACAGACTGGCCTGAGGTCAGAATCGCAGTGCCGGGAACATGTTGCCTCTACAGGGCTCCATGTCCCGTCTGGAAAGTGGGGGCAGGCTTACCTTCCACACGAGGCAGTGCCAGCTACACAGGATGGGGCCCTCAGGCACAGGCCCAGCAACCACGCACAAGACAGGCTCTGCAGATGCTGGAACATGTATCTGGCACGTCTGCTGAGTGGGGGCCAGTGACCCACAGGGAGTTGCTGCTCCCCTTGTCCTCCCTGGATGGGTCTCTTACATGGCTTTCTTTTAGCTCCTCCAAGTCAGGGTGAGACCACCATCCTGAAAGCCAGCCCTGAGGATTTTTGTAAGCCACCCTGGAATATAGAAACAAAACCCCTTATTTGTGTTTCTCTTTGCTAGAGAGGGTCTAGAAGGGATGGGGACCTGGAGGTGGGGACCCAAGAAGAGTTTGGGAGTAGCTGAGACTGTGTCCCTTGGAGAAGAGGCCCCTACATGGGATTGGGCCAGGCAACTTTCAGAGCATAATATGGCTCATTCACTGCTAAGCAAAACAGCAGCTCCAACAAAGATGCGGGGAACCAGGTTGGGAAGAGGGAGCGCTGCCCCGCTGCACAGCCCAGCTCCCCACTTACCTTCTGAAGCCGCTTGAAGCAGGTGCTCTCCCTCTCTAAGCCTCAGTTACTCCTCAAACAGAGGCAAAACACAGTTTTTGAAAAAAGTGTCTTGAGCGCTGACCAAGCACTGTCACTGCGGGAATGTTGTATCGCGTCGTCCTCGTGGTGTCCTTCAGAGTGGGTGCACTTTCTGTCCTTTCTCTGCGGACAGGAGGCAAAGGCTCAGGGGTTCAGGGGTTGCTGAGGTCACCAGAGGTTGTACCTGCCTGCTCCAGCCTCCCTGCTGGCCAGGCGGCCTCCCTGAACGTGCAGATGAGATGACATGGGAGAGTCATCATCCCTAGTTTCTTGCTGGGCACAGCAGCCATCAGTTCCTCTCTACTCCGTGTCATGTGTGCCAGGCTCGCCAGGTCTCAGGGGAAGCAAAGAAGCTTGGGGAGCTGGCCCTTCACAGTAAAACCCAGCCCCTGCTCCAGCCCCTGCGAGATAGGACCCCCACTCCTCTGTCCAGCTGGGGAGCCAGCAGCCAGCCTGGGCAGTGGGCAGTGGGCACTGGGCGAGTTAGAGCAGTGTCGTCCCCCTGCTGGTCACACAAGCTCATTCTCCTGGCTCACCCCTCCCTCCCCTTGGCTCCCACAGACATCAACGAGTGCCTGGTCAACAACGGGGGCTGCGATCACTTCTGCCGCAACACGGTGGGCAGCTTCGAGTGCAGCTGCCAGAAGGGCTACAAGCTGCTCACGGACGAGCGCACCTGCCAGGGTGAGCCCCTGCCGCGCCCTGGGTGGCCCTCGGGCCAGCAGGGTCGTGTCTCTTCCACTCCTGGGCTCCTAGGAGGGATGGGAGTGGTGATGGGGCTTGGCCCCAGGGAAAGGGGTCCTTTATGACTCTAGGGGCCGTCAGTTCAATCTGTTCCTTTTGTTGATGGGAAACTGAGGCTTGGGAAGGTTTCAGCACAGGCGGGTGACTGAGCTCATCAGCTCACCCCATCCCTCCCCTCCCAGGTGGCCCACGGGCCTCCCTATGGCAAAGCCCTCTGGCTTCAGAGGTGGGATGCTGCCATCTGTTGGAAGGCACTGCACATTGCAGGCAGGCACTCTGGAACAATCGTCAGGGTCTGGGCACCTGCTGGGAGCAAGGGTGATAAAAAAAGGGTTTGGCAGAAGCCAAGAATCCCCGCCCAGGACAAGTCTATTGGGATCCAGGATGCAGCAGGACCCCAGAGGCTGGGCAGTGCAGAGCGGGGTCAGGGAAGGTTACAGGGGAGGATCTGTTGGTGAGATGCTTGAGGGCTACATAGGAATTTTCCAGGAGCGGGGAGGGAGCTAAAGCCACCCAGCAGGTGGCACTGTAGCCTGAGGAGGTTTCGGGGAATGCAGGGAACTTGGCGGGGCCAGATGAGGCCATGAGGAAGGAGACGGATGCCCTGTGGGACCCACATTTGGAGAAAGCTCAAGTAGGGGGTGCCCACATGGCAAGGCAGGGGCTCTCTTTTCCTGACAATTATCCAGCTGCGGTCAGGTTGTTCTGTGCCTGCGGGGTACCGGCAATAGCAGGCGGCATGTGGCCTCATCTGGACACCAGGCTGTGCTGCTGCCTGTCAGTGCCACTCAGGGGCTGACATGGGGCAGCATGGGGCCCTGAGGAGCAAGGGTTGTGGTCCCAAAGGGCCCCTGAGGAAGGTGAGAGCAGGAGCTGGCCGGAGTGAGGCCCCAGCCAGCCAGCCTCAGGATCACTGCATGCCCGGGGCCAGCTACTCCCTCCCCAGGCTTGGCCTCTTCATCCCTGGCCAGGCACCCTGGCCCTGTCTTCTCCTCAGGGCCTGAGGGCTGGTTAGGAGCACAGTGTCTGTCCAGGCCCCATCAGGGTTCTTCTGACTTTGACTTTGTTTCTCTATTGGCCTTGCCAAGCTCGATAGAGGGCTGAGGAGAGCCTTGACTTTGCACCCCAGTGCCCCTGAGGGAGGTAGGGGCTGTCAAGGAGGAGATGAGATCGCTTGTGAGGCCCTATCCTCACCTGCCCCACCCCACCTTCCTTTTCCCATCCCCTTCCAGGCTCATCTCTCTGAGGCCTTGGGCTCTGGGCTCCACAGGTCTAGCAGGGAGGTTTCCATGCTCCTTTGCTTGGCACTCAGGGGACCCCAGACACCTCCCCAGTCCCCCTTGGGCTCCACACAAGCAGACCTGTCAGGGTAGTCCTGGGGCCCATTGGAGTCAATGCCCCTTCCCCTCCTGGGCTTCTGCAGGCTCCTAGGAGAGGAGGGGAGTTCAGATGGGTCTGGGCCCAAGGGAACGGGTGCGTCCCAGGTGCCCCATACTCCCACCTCCTAGCTGCTGCCTGGAGCACCTGTCCTCCACACTCATTTCCTCATTCCAGGCTGGTCCCATCCTTCAGATTCTAGCCCAGGTGCCACGAGCCCCAGGAGGTCCCAGATCCTCTCTGGGAGGAAGCACACTCGACTTTGAGCACCCACGCGCAATTTCTTCCTTGTGTTAGTGTTTTGGGGGTTTTTTGTTGTTTTGTTTTTCTGAGGCAGAGTCTCAGAAAAAACACTGCACTCCAGCCTGGCTGGAGTGCAGTGGCGCCATCTCAGCTCACTGCAACCTCCCCCTCCTGGATTCAAGCGAGTCTCCTGCCTCAGCCACCCATGTAGCTGGGAATACAGGCACAAACTACCACGCCTTGCTAATTTTTGTATTTTTAGTAGAGACAGGGTTTCACCATGTTGGCCAGGATGCTCTCGATCTCCTGACCTTGTGATCCACCTGCCTCAGCCTCCCAAAGTGCTGGGATTACAGGCATGAGCCACCGCGCCCGGCTGTTAGTGTTTTTGTAAATATGCATATATTACAAATCTGTGGAAATTACATGAGCCAGCGTTTTCAAAGACTGAACTCTTAACTGCTATGCCCAAGAAGGGGCAGGTTGGTATCTGTTTTGCCTTCAGGGTCCCGCATCAACTCTCCCATAAAAGCCATTTTTCTCAGAATTTATGGTTAGGACAGCTTTGTCTCCAGTCAACATGGTGGGTCATTTTTTCCTTTCCAGGAACAAACACCCTGTGACCTTCCCTCTTTCCCTTTTTACCTTGGCTGCCAGGAAGCTCATCATCACCTTTCATATACTGTCACAGCTCCCTTTTTAACCTTTATGGGTACCATATCTCCTCGTCTCCTTTTTTTACTTGAGCTTATTTTCTCAAGAAACCTCGTGGGGTGATGGGGAAACATGCTTTGGTCAGCATCCAAGAGGCCTAGGTTTATGTCCCAGGTCAGCTGCCTCCTCGGGGCCCTGGGGCCAGCTGCAGTCAGTTTTCTGCAGGTATGGATTAAATGGCTCTCTCCCTCTACTGATCAGAGTTGACTGTGAGATCGTGAAATGGCAGAGATTGACCATCATCCCTTCCATTCACAATGCTTCTGCCCTGCTCATCTCCAGAAAAGATGTGAGGTGGCTCCTAACCCAAAAATCGGAGGCTAGTGGAGACCAGTGGAACTCGGAGCAGCAGCAAGGAGCCTCCCGTTTCCCGTGGGCTGATGCTGTGCTGCGCCTTGGCCCAGGGACTGTGTCCACAGATGTGCCTTGAGTGGCTGAGAGTGACAGGCCGTGCCCACCCACCTCTCCCTCAAACTCCTCCCCCAACTTTGTCTCCCTGTGGCCACGCAGACATCGATGAGTGCTCCTTCGAGCGGACCTGTGACCACGTCTGCACCAACTCCCCGGGCAGCTTCCAGTGCCTGTGTCACCGCGGCTACATCCTCTACGGGACGACCCACTGCGGAGGTCTGCAGCCTGTCCACCAGGGCCACCTCCCCCCCGAGGCACGCGCCTGGCCACATGGCCACCTATACTGCACCCCGCATCCCAACCCTGCCTTCAACCCTGGGCGGCCCGGGGCCTAAGCATGGGGACTGCTGGGTAGAGGGGCTCAGCCAAGGGTAAGGGGGCAGGGGTGGGGGTCGGGGGAGCAGGGGACGGCTAGAGATGGGTGGCAGGTCTCTGCTGGTGCTAGGCCTTCGCCAGATGGGTACAGGCTTGGAAACCACATTTACTAGAGAATCCAGGGCCAGGAGTGGGGGCAGCCAGTACGTGGAAATCCTGCAGACAGTTCATTCCAGGGGAGAGGCTCACAGCAGAGAAGGGCAGAGTACAGGGGCCATTCAGGATCCTCAAGGGGAAGTTTTTGGAGGGGGTGGGGAGGCACTCCAGAGGGGTCTGCATGAGAAGGCAATGGGCAGAAGGACAGAGAGGCAGCCGCAAGGCTGGAGCCCACAGGAGGACAGAGCTCTGAGGAAGATGCAGACGGCAGTGGGGGGTGCGCCACCCCACAATGCAGGCCTCATGAGCCCACAGGGGACTTGGGGTTTATTCCCAGTCAGTTGAGAAGCCCATGGGGGGTTTAAGTGGGGGTGTGATATGGTCAAGTTCACGGAACTAGATGCCCCCGTGGCGACATGGACAGGAGAGTGGAATCCAGGGTACCCGTGGGAAGACAGCTCCAGGCGTGGGAGCACGCGCTACTGTAGCTGCGGCAGGGTGGGCAGACGGAACAAAGAGGAAGGTTCTCAATGTATTTAGGAGCCAGAGGCAGGCTGCTGGGACTTGGTGTTACATGGGTATGGTGGGTGAAGATTGGAAAGCCAAGGATGGTCCCCGTGTCTCTTCCTGTTCTGTGACTGGGGGTAGCTGCAGTCACGACGCCAGGCAGCCTGAAGGTCAGACAGGGTCAGGCAGGAGTGTGATCAGGACACAGCGGGTGCTTGGGCTTCTGGAGTGGGCTTCAGATTCTTCTGGAAAGACTCGGAAACCTGGGCACCCTTCCCTGGGCCTGCCGAGTGCAGGCAGCTCAAGAACTAACAGAATGTGGCCAGCCCGTCTCTCCCAGCTTCCTCCCAGCTTTTGGTCAGGGTAGGAAGGGCCTTAGCGGTGACTTATTTCACCCTGGTGTCTGCTGTACCGGAGGGACCTTGGACTAGAAAAGGGCTTGTCCCGAGTCCCACGGTAAAATCAGTCTCACGGTCCCTGGAGCAGTGCACCTTCCCTGTGCCACAAAACCTGGCTGGGTTGGCACTTTGATTGTGTGCCACCATCTCTGCCTCCCAGCCTAGGGGCAGCTGCTTGAGCTCAGAAAACAACCTCGGTTCCTGGGGGAAGGAACGCTGGGGTCTGTGAGGAGCTTTATCCACTCACACCCGTGTGCACATGTGGTGTGTGCACTGCTCCTCTGCATCCGTGAAGCTGTCTGACTCAGTGGGGTCAGGAGATGCTCAACCCTCTTGCCCCGGGTGGTCCTTTCCCCTGCCAGCCGCCCCCCTGCCCTTACGCCCACTGTGCTTCCAGATGTGGACGAGTGCAGCATGGACAACGGGAGCTGTGGCCAGGGCTGTGTCAATACCAAGGGCAGCTACCAATGTTTCTGTCCCCCGGGGAGGTGGCTCCACTGGAACCGGAAAGACTGCATGGGTAGGTGGCCTCCCTGTGCTGGCTCCTCCCCTGCACCTGGGCTTGGATGGGAGGGGCAGTGGCTTTTCCGAGGTGGGGGTGAGCGGGCAGCCCCTCCCTTTCCTCTAGGCCCTGCGTTTCCAGGCAGGGATTCTCTGCTGCTGGGCTATGGCTGATGGGAATGAGGACTTGAAGGAGAGGAGGGTCCCAGGTGGCAGAGCAAGTGAGTGTCAGCCAGAGACACAGCAACAGGGGCCTGCAGTGCGGAGGAGGGTACAGAGATCTGGGGGTCCACGTGCAGCCCGAGCCGTAGGGCGAGGCACCCTGCTGATGGCTCTGTGAGGCTGGAAGCTTAGAGGGAGTGGGTGTGGAGACCTCTCCTCTCAAAGCTTCCCTTGTCCTGCTGAGGAAGCTGAGTGGGAGAAGGAGTGGTTATCAGGGTGCAGTAGACTCAGTGGGGCACAGTTGTGGGGATGTGCCACTGCCTCCTAGAAAGCCCAAGTTCTGTCCACCTCTGCATGTGAGCCCCCAGCACTGGGTACCCCGAGGCTGAGTTCTGGAGGGGCCCCTGCGTTCCCTGGTTCCCCGTACACGTGGCCCTGACTGGGTGCTGGATCTATGGACCTGCCCTCCTGGAACCTCCGCTCCAGGTCCTTGCCCTGTCACACTCTAACATCCCCAGGGCAGCCAAAGTGAGCCTTTTACATTTAAGTTAGAACGTCCCTCTCAGCTCAGAAACCAGCCCCCTCCCCAACTCCTCCTTTGACTCTCAGTCAAGGCCACAGTGCTTGGAATGGCCCACAGGCTGCTGCCACCTGGCGGGATTGCCCTCTGCCGTCCCCCTGGCTGGCTTCACGCCAGCCTCACTGACCTCACAGGCCTCCACCAGCCCTCGGCCTGAGGCCGTGCCCTTCTCTTGGCCTGGAGAGCTCTCCCACAGCACTCCTCACTCCTCCCTTGCTGTGGGGGTCTGTGGGTGACGCCTGCCCCATCACCCATCCAGAGCCGAAGCCTCGGCCACTTCCACACCCATCCGGGCCCGCTTTGCTTCCAGCTTTCTTCCCCCGCATCACACTCCCTGCCACCAGAAGTAACGTGCACTTTCCAGGTTCATGCTGATTTGTGTCTGTCTGTCTGCCCGTCTCTCTGTCTATCCTCACGAGATTGTAAGCTTTACACAGCTGAGCAGGTCTTCGTGGCCTGTCCCGTTCACTGCTGGAGCCCCAGCACCTGGAACAGACCCTGACAGTCATAGATACGAAGTAAACGTTTGTTGGATGATGAACAGATTGACAAATAGAGGCCATCACTTCATATCTGAAATCAAAATACCGAGTTTATCACATGCTTATGGAAGGAATTGCTGTGCTGTACTGCAGAGTCTCACTGAACAAAGTCACCTGCCGCTCTCACGTTGAGTTTGGGGAAAGAGCTTGTTTGGAGCTGTTCTGGTGGCAGAGGCGGCATTAGGGGATGTCCGTCTTAGAAGCATGGGAAGGATATGGTACCTTCAGATCTCTGCAGGAAAGCGTTGCTCACTGAGGATATTAGGGTCACGGCTCCATGGTAAGCAGCTTTATGCAGACCTGCCTGCAAAGGCCAGGGAAACTCGGTGGAAGAAAGAGGCTGACACATTGGACTTCTCAGAAAGAAACATTTGGCTGGGCACAGTGGCTCACACCTGTAATCCCAGCACTTTGGGAGGCCAAGGTGGGCAGATTATCTGAGTTCAGGAGTTTGAGACCAGCCTGGGCAACATGGCGAAACTCCATCTCTACTAAAAAATATAGAAATTAGCCGGACATGGTGGCACATGCCTGTAGTCCCAGCTACTCTGGAGACTGAGGCAGGGGAATCACCTGAAGCCAGGAGGCGGAGGTTGTACTAAGCTGAAATCACACCACTGCACTCCAGCCTGGGTGACAGACAGACCCTGTCTCAAATAAAAAAAAGAGAGGTGTGATCAACCTTAGTAGAGCTGTAGGTATATTACATGGGTGATGGTGTGATAAAAAGATGTACCTCTCCCAGTACAAGGGCTTTTCCTTTTTTATGCATTTTCTTTTCTTTCTTTTTTTTTTTTGAGACGGAGTTTCGCTCTTGTTACCCAGGCTGGAGTGCAATGGCGCGATCTTGGCTCACCGCAACCTCCACCTCCTGGGTTCAGGCAATTCTCCTGCCTCAGCCTCCTGAGTAGCTGGGATTACAGGCTCGCGCCACCATGCCCAGCTAATTTTTTGTATTTTTAGTAGAGACGGGGTTTCACCATGTTGACCAGGTTGGTCTCGATCTCTCGACCTTGTGATCCACCCGCCTCGGCCTCCCAAAGTGCTGGGATTACAGGCTTGAGCCACCACGCCCGGCCTTTTATGCATTTTCTAAAAAGAATATTATAATTTTTTTTTCTCGAGTTAGAGTCGTGCTCTGTCACCCAGGCTGGAGTGCAATGGCGCCATCTTGGCTTACTGCAAACTCCGCCTCCCAGGTTCAAGTGATCCTCCTGCTTCAGCCTCCGAAGTATCTGGGATTACAGGCACCCACCACCACACCTCTAATTTTTATATTTTTAGTAGAGACAGGGTTTTACCAAGTTGGCCAGGCTGGTCTCGAACTCCCAACCTCAGGTGATCCACAAGCCTCGGCCTCTCAAAGTGCTGGGATTACAGGCATGAGCCACCACACTCGGCCAAAAATATCATAATGAATAAGGCTCAGGTTACATGCTTTGAACCATTTTTCAACTTATCTGCACTAGCAATACCTTGGGAGAGCTGATGGAGAGAATTAGGATAGTGGTTATCCCTCGTAAAAGCTGGATCTAGGCGAGTTATCATAAGAGACAGATGATAGGTTAAATCAGAAGTGTATAACCTGAAATCCCTAAGGTGAGAAAATATGACCAGAAGAATAAAGAATCCGAATACACAGGGAGAGGGTATGGAAATTGCCAGTTGCAAACATCTAAGAGAATTTATTCCAAGGTCTTGGGCAAAACAGCTTAAAAGTGTCCGTTTCAGTGAGAGTTGTGCAGTCACATAAATTTTAGAGGATTTTCATTTCTTCAAAAAGAAATCCTGTGTCCACAGCTGCCAGTGCCCATTTTCCCTCAAGCCCCCCAGCCCCGGCACCCACTAATCCCCTAATCCACCTCTATGGAGTTGCCTATCATAGACATTTTATATAAATGGGATTACACAGTATGATGATATTTTGTGACTGGCTGATTCCATTTAGTATCGTTTTCACAGTTCACCGTGTCGTAGCTGGGATTTCTGTCCCATTCCTTTCTCTCCATTGGGTGGCCGTAATATCACGTTTCGTTTATTCATCCACCGGTGGCCAGGTGGGTTGTTCCACTTTGGGGCTATTATGAATAATGCTGCTGTGAACGTGTTTTCAGTTCTTTGGGGTGTAGACGTAGGGTTAGAATTGTAGGATCATGTGGTAACTGTGTCTAACTTTTCGGGAACTGCCAGACTGTTTTCCAAAGGGGCTGCCCCGTTGTTCCATCCCCAGCAGTGATGTATCAGATGTCCGATGCCTCCCCAGCCTCACCACCACTTCCTAGTATCTGACTTTCAGTTATAGCCATCCTAGTGGGTGTGAAATGGTATCTCACTATTTTATTTCCCTGACAGCTAGTGATGTTGAATATTTTCCATTTGTATATGTTATTTGGAGATATCTATCCAGATCCTTTGCCCTTTTAAAAGTGCGTTGTCTCAGCTGGGCACTGTGGCTCACACCTGTAATCCCAGCACTTTGGGAGGCCGAAGCAGGTGGATCACGAGGTCAGGAGGTCTAGACCATCCTAACACAGTGAAACTCATCTCTACTAAAAATACAAAAAATTAGCCGGGTATGGTGGCCCATGCTTGTAGTCCTAGCTGCTCAGAATGCTGAGGCAGGAGAATCTCTTGAACCCAGAAGGCAGAGGTTGCGGTGAACTGAGATGGTACCACTGCACTCCAGCCTGGACAACAGAGCGAGACTCCATCTCAAAAAAAAAAAACTGGGTTGTCTTTATAGAATTATAAGATTTCTTTGGGCATTCTGTATACATGTCCCTTATTAGGTACATGATTGGCAAATCTTTTCTCCCATTCTGTGAGTTGACTTTTCACTTTCTTTTCAAGCGATCCTCCCACCTCAGCCTCCTGAGTTGCTGGGACTGTCAGCTCATGCCTCTGCTCTGAGCATCTTTCGCTTTTGTGTGTGTGTGTGTGAGACGGAGTTTCACTCTTGTTACCCAGGCTGGAGTGCAAGGGCGCCATCTTAGCTCACCCACCGCAACCTCCGCCTCCTGGGTTCAGGCACTTCTCCTGCCTCAGCCTCCTGAGTAGCTGGGATTATAGGCACGCACCACTATGGCCAGCTAATTTTTTGTATTTTTAGTAGAGACGGGGTTTCACCATGTTGACCAGGATGGTCTCAATCTCTTGACCTCGTGATCCACCCGCCTCGGCCTCCCAAAGTGCTGGAATTACAGGCGTGAGCCACCGTGCCCGGCGCATCTTTCGCTTTCTTTATGGCGTCCTTTGAATCACAAAAAGTCTTTAATCTTCATGAAGTCCAATTTATCTGTTCTTTTTCTTGGTTGTTTGTGTTTTGGTATAATTTCTAAGAAATCATTGCCTAGTCAGAGGTCCCAAAGATGTATACTTACATCTTCTTCTAAGAGTTTTATAGTTTTAGCTGTGACATTAGATCTTAGATCCATTTTGAGGTAATCTGAATATGGTGTGAAATGTGAGCCCAACTTTATTCTTTTGCACGTGGCCATCCAGTTGTCACAGCACCATTTGCTGAAAAGATCATTTTTTTCCCATGGAATTGTCTTGACAACCTCGTCTAAGTCAGTTGACTGAAGAAGTGTGGATTGATGTCTAGAAATGGAATGCTCGGTTCTATTCCATTGATATTTCTGTCTGTCTTCATGCTAATACCCCACTATCTTGATTACTGTAGCTCCCTAGTAAGTTTTCTGAATGGAAAGTGTGAGTCCTCCACTTTGTATTTTATGTACAAGATTGATTTGACTATTCTTGAACTTCCTTGAATTTCCATATGAATTATAGGATCTGTTCATTTTTAAGATAAGTCGCATCAATAAACAATACCAACTCAGGATTTGTTATGGATTGCCCAGAAGATCTGTTCGGCGTATGAACACTTCTGAAGTACAGTAACACAAAAATGAGCTTCTCCTTCAAACACCGGTCGCTCCCAGGAAGCCCATGTTCATTTACCGCCGTTCCTTTCCCCAGCAGGAATGTACGCCTGCCGTGGAGAGCTCAGGGAGTTCCTGATGTGGGGATGAGACATGAACCTTCTCACAGCCAGGACTAGAGCCTGAAGTCAGGGAGCGACTAAGCCAGCTCTCTAGGTCCAGCATTCCCACATGACCAAGGGGATCTGGACCTGCCATCTCCAGGCCCCTTCCCACCAAGCCAGCCTAGACATAGAAGGGAGGAGTTGGGGGACTCCCCGTTGGTCCATGCCCAGGGTCCCTCCCAGCTCCGGGAAGCTTCCACCCTGGCCTCTCTCACCCCTCTCTCATGTCTTCCTTCACAGAGACAGGCAGGTGTCTTTCTCGGGCTAAGACCTCCCCCCGGGCCCAGCTGTCCTGCAGCAAAGTGGGCGGTGTGGAGAGCTGCTTCCTTTCCTGCCCGGCCCACACACTCTTCGTGCCAGGTAACACGGGCTGTCCCTGGGATGGGATGCTGTGGCAGGGGGTCTTCTTCCCTGGGGTCCCACCATTGCTCCCAGCTGTCCTCCAGGAAAGAGCCCGATCTTAGGAATGAGGGTCTCTGATAACTGAGTGACCCTAAGGCAGCTGTCTGGGCCCTCACGGTCCTCAGTGAATCCAGTGGGCTCCTTTCTCCTGGCCACTTACCTGTGGTTGAGTAGCAGAAACTGGCAGAAGAGTCTGTCTTGATCTTCATCTCACTCCACAATCCCTCTGAGGCCCCAAGAATCTGAGGGCCATGGGAGGAAGGTGCACCCAGGCCCGTCTCATCCCTGGCCTCTCTGCAGACTCGGAAAACAGCTACGTCCTGAGCTGCGGCGTTCCAGGGCTACAGGGCAAGGCACTGCAGAAACGCAACGGCACCAGCTCTGGCCTCGGGCCCAGCTGCTCAGGTATCCCCTCAGCCTGTCCATGCTGCATGCAACTGGGTGACCTTGACTTTGCATCTAGTATCCTGCTGGCGGGGGAGGAAGGGACACTGCTCATGGAAGACCTTCCTGCTCTTGGCCCTTCCCAGTGTGGCCTGGGGTACTGGCGATGAGGCAGGCCCAGGACCTAGAAGCCAGCAGGCTGCAGGCCGAGCCCCAGCCCAGGGTCAGGAGACCATGGGAGGGCCCTTCTAGCTCTGAGGTCACAGCCATAGTGGTTCAGGGACCCTAACATACTGGGGGTGCACAGATCTCAGAATGTTTGGGTGGAGCAAGCCACATCTGCTATGGCCATTAGGTTCTCCCGGGTCGGAGCTGCCCCAGCAGATCGCGCCAGGAAGACCTGAGGCACAGCACAGCCCCGGCTCTATGGGATGACCCGCCGGGCATGGTCAGCATGGCACAGCCAGCCTCATCTCCTGCCAGCTAAGGAGCTGGCGCTTTTGTCCTCAGCAGCTTTTCTTATTCAGATGTTGGATTTGGTTGATAGGTACATTTCTATATGTTTTCTTTTTTTTTTTTTGAGATGGAATCTTGCTCTGTCACCCAGGCTGGAGTGCAGTGGCTTGATCTCAGCTCACTCCAACTCCACCTCCCTGGTTTAAGCAGTTCCCCTGCCTCAGCCTCCCAAGTAGCTGGAATTACAGGCACATGCCACCACATCTGGCTAATTTTTTTGTATTTTTTGTAGAGACTGAGTTTCACCATGTTGGCCAGACTGGTCTCAAACTCTTAACCTCAGGCAATCCACCTGCCTTAGCCTCCCAAAGTTCTGGGATTACAGGCATGAGCACCGCACCTGGCTGTTTCTTTATTATTATTATTATCATTTTGAAACAGAGTCTCACTCTGTCATCCAGGCTGGAGTACAGTGATGTGCTGTGATCTCAGGTCACTGCAACCTCCACCTCCCCGGGTTGAAGCAATTCTCCTGCTTCAGCCTCCTGAGTAGCTAGAATTATAGGCATCCACCACCACACCTGGCTAATTTTCATATTTTTAATAGAGACAGAGTTTCACCATTTTAGTCAGGCTGGTCTTGAACTCCTGACCTCAAGTGATCCACCCACCTAGGCCTCCCAAAGTGTTGGGATTACAGGCATGAACCACCACGCCTGGCCCATTGCTGTATATTTAATGTATAAATGACTTGATTCTAAGCACCTGTGGTGGTAGGATCTTTAGTCCAAGGGCTATGATTTGCTCTTGCAAGGAATTGGCAGTCCTGGGAATCTGTAGTATTTCAAAGCCCCTTCCCTTCCCTGCTCCCCTCTCTCTTCCGTTCAACGCTCTTTCCTAAAGCGCAGTCACGGCTTGGTGATGGGGAGGAGAAAGGAGGATCCCTTTCTTCCTTCACAGAAGACCTCAGCAGACAGTCCCTGGGCTTGAGCTTGACCCCAACATCCATGTGTTCTGTTCTCCTGTTTTAGGCCTTGCAGGGAAAGAAATGGGACAGGAGAGAGTTCCCCACCCCAGGAGAGTTTTTGGGGCACAGGGACTCAGACCAGGCCCCACCCCCAGCTCCAGGTGGACTCGTCCCCTGGCAGCCCCCTTCCCCTACCACCGCCTTGCCTGCAGGAGAGGCCACCACCTGGGGGAATTTTCGCTTTCCCCAGATTCCCCCACCACCCCCATCAAACAGAAGGCCCGCTTCAAGATCCGAGATGCCAAGTGCCACCTCCAGCCCCACAGGCAGGCACGAGCAAAGGAGACCACCAGGCAGCCACTGCTGGGTGAGTGGGCTGCCCTGCTGCTAACCCACACCAAGGGGGCTGCGGGAGAGTCCTCATGCCTGGGAGCTGGGGGCCCAGGGTCCAGCAAGTCTCCTTTCCAAGGATGGAGGCCTCTCTCACCTGGCAGCTCTTTACTGAATGAGGGTTTCCAAGGACATTCCAGGCCTGGGGAGTAGCAGAGGGCAAACTTGGTCCAAGGGGCCCCAGCAGAAGGCACTACCTCTGTCCCCATGAATATTCCTCTTCAAACCAAACAGAGCTCTCCACACAGCAGGCTCTGCCCGGGACCAAGTCCGCCCTGGCCAAACCCTCAGCAGGCCCGGAACTGGGGACACAGCCTCATTCATGAATATGTATGAGGTTCCTCCACTGCAGCAGCATGATGGACCAGGCGTGAGACCTGGCTCAGCCACCAGCCCCTCCTGAGACCCTGAGCCAGCCCTGGCCTTCTCCAGCCTCAGTTTCTCCATCTACACCACAGACTGTTAGGCACAGGGGGTCCTGGCCCATGGCATTCTGTGTGCAGAGCTTGATAGGACCTTGCTCCCTGCCCCATGCTGCCTTTGCCATGGTGGTCCTTTCCTTGTCCAGACCACTGCCACGTGACTTTCGTGACCCTCAAGTGTGACTCCTCCAAGAAGAGGCGCCGTGGCCGCAAGTCCCCATCCAAGGAGCTGTCCCACATCACAGCAGAGTTTGAGATCGAGACCAGGATGGAAGAGGCCTCAGGTAGGTGAGGGGTTCTCTCAGGGCTTCTGCAGGCCCAAAGGAGGACGACAGGCTGGGGGTGCTGGTGGGGCCTGCCAGGCATGAGCACAGCTGTGGTTTGGGTGGGAGCCCAGCTTCTAGAGAGAGCACTGAGCCCACGAACAAAGGGAGCTGGCAGGGTACAGCGCCTGCAGCCCAGGGTAGAAGAGGCAGCCCAAGGCAATAAGAGGGAAGGGCTGGTCACATGATCATAGAAGTCACGTGACCCCTCTCTGCCACTCTACACTCCTGCTGGGGCCTGGGCGGACGAATAGGTGCAGCCTCCCCAGAATGGCTGAGCCAAGGACTGTCTTTCCCAGTTCCAGAGGGGGATTCTAATGCTGGCTTGGGTGGCATAGCAGCGCTTTGCTCTTGGCTATACATGAGTGTCAACTTGTGAATCGTCCATGGTGAAGAGATGGGATCTGTCAGCAGATGTGTGTGATGTGGGCCTGGCTGTGGGCTTGGGCGTAGAGGAAAGAAAAGTCCCCACCTAGGTAACACTCTCAGCCAGAGAGGCAGACACACATGCAAACCACCCATTGCCAGGTGATACTCTCAGTGGTGGGGGCACAAGAACAAACAATGCATAGAGCCCAGGTCTCTCCCCATGGGAAGGCTCAGGAAATGTCTTAATCTGGACAGACACGGTGGCTCATGCTGGTAATCCCAGAACTCTGGGAGGCTGAGATGGGTGGATCATTAAGGTCAGGAGTTCGAGACCAGCCTGACCAACATGGTGAAACCCCATCTCTACTAAAAATACAAAAATTAGCAGGGTATGGTGCCATGAACCTGTAATCCCAGCTACTCAGGAGACTGAGGCAGGAGAATTGCTTGAACCCAGGAGGCAGAAGTTGCAGTGAGCTGGGATCGTGCCACTGCACTCCAGCCTGGGTGACAGATCAAGATTCCATCTCAAAAAAAAAAAAAAGAAAATGTCTTAGTCTATTTGCGTTGCTCAAAGGAACACCTGAGGCTGGATGATTTATCAGGAAGAGAGTTGATTGGCTCATGGCTCTGCAAGCTGTCAGGAAACATGGCAGCAGTGCCTACACCTGGTGAGGGCCTAGGTTGCTTCTGCTCATGGAGGAAGCAACCTCATGAAGAGCAGCCAGAGTCACATGGCAAGAGGAAAGGAGCAAGAGCGAGAGGGGAGGGGGCGCCTGCCTCTTTTCAACAATCACATCTCAGGAGGACTGGTAGAGCCAGTGAGAACTCACTACCATTAGGACAGTACCAGGCCATTCACGAGGGACCTAACCCATGAGCCAGACGCCTCCCACCAGGCCCCACCTCCATGATTGGGGATCAGATTTCAGCATGAGGTTTGGAAGGGACAAATATTGAAACCATATCAGGAAGCCTTCCCAGAAGAGGCGCCATTTGAATGAGAGCTTGGAATCAAAGCTCACTGGGTGGAAGAGGTGGCAAGGAATGGCATTCAGGCAGAGGGAATAGAATAAGCAAAGGCACAGAGGTCAGAGAGAGGAGGATATGGCCAACAGTGAGTAGGGCAGGGTGGCTAGACATTGGAATTCACGGTGAGTGTCAGAGTTTAGGGGGATAAGGTTGGCAAGGCTGCATGGGGCTGGACCTCGAAGGGCCTTGGATTCACAGCCAGCGAGCTGGATGCTATCCTGCAGACAGTGGCAGTCCTCAAGGGTCTTTGAGTGACAGAAAGGAGTTCTTGTCCCGTGGGTTGTACCCTGGGGGGTGACATGTTGCACTTGCAGATGCCTAGATTACACTCAGATCTGCCGTGTGGCCTTGGGTAGGCCATGCCTCCCAGATCCACAGCCTCCTCATCTGTCAGATGGTCATGACAGTGGCCCCTCACCCCAGGGCTGTCATGAGAATGTGCTGCGGTGGTCCAAGCCCAATACAGGGCCTGGCGCAGGGAAGCCCTCAGCTAAGAAGGCAGCTGCTAGCAGGGCTGCCAGTGATTCCTGTTCTGTCTCTCCTGCCCCTGCAGACACATGTGAAGCGGACTGCCTGCGGAAGCGAGCAGAGCAGAGCTTGCAGGCTGCCATCAAAACCCTGCGGAAGACCATCGGCCGGCAGCACTTCTATGTCCAGGTCTCAGGCACTGAGTACGAGGTAGCCCAGAGGCCAGCCAAGGCCCTGGAGGGTCAGGGGATGTGCAGCGCAGGCCAGGTGCTACAGGACAGCAAATGCGGTGAGTCCTCACCCATAGCCACTCAGGTGCTGACTCTGTCCTTCCTTGCACATGAGCTGGGGTAAACAGTGGACACGCAGGGGAGACAGACATATGGAGAGGGGCAGAGAGGCAGAGGCTGCCAGAGATAGGACTGCAGCCCTCACCATCATCGCCGTCATTTGAAGCTCTTTGCTGGGCCTCAGGCATGTGATCAGTCCTGAGGACGAGGGATGAGGAAAAGACAGGACAGCAAGGCCATGGTCCAGGGGCGCGAGGGGTGCAAAAACCAGAGCAGGCTCTCTCCAGTCTGAGATGTGGTTCAAGGAAGCTTCCCGGAGGCGGAGAAGTCACGTGAGCTGAGACCTCAGGGGTCCAGGAGCTGGGGAGTCTGAATTCGGGTTGGAGGACAGAGCAGTGATGTCATGAGGCCTAGGGCCGCTCAGGAGGGCAGCCCTCTGCTGCAGAGAAGCAAGTGGGAGAGCCTGGAGGCAGGACAGGCAGAAGCAGCACTAGCTAGCTAGCCAGACAGTCCTAGCTCTTGGGGAGTTCACATTCCTGTGGGGAAGATGGACGGTGAGCCGGTGAACATACCCACGGGCACAGTGAGGCCAGAGGCAATGGGGGCCTGGCTGGCAGCAGATGCCACCCTGAGTTCAGCGGGAAACTGCAGGAGTGTTTAAAGCAAGATCGCAGGCTCAAGCACTCTGTTATGGCTCAAGCAACCTGAGTACAGTGGGGTGGGCCGCAGAGCGCGAGGCCAAGCACAAGACGGAGGGCGGGTCCTAGAACCAGGGGGCACTTTGGAAAGGGAGGTGAGGGAAAGACAGACTTCAAGGATGACTCCAAGGGTTTGGCCACTTGAGCAGAGGTGGCATCACTTTCTGATCTGGGGAAACTTGAGGAAGAATGGGCTGGGGGACAGAGCATGCAGGCTGGACATGTTCAGCTTGAGGCGCTCACACGGCATCCACATGGAGATGTGGGATGGGCAGCTGGAGCCACAGGTGGAACCTCAAAGAATAGTGTTGGCCGGGGGTGTAAACTGGGAAGTCGTTGGAGACAAGGCAACACTTGTGGTGAGGGGCAGGAGAAGCCATTGGTAAAGAGGTGACACAGGGCAAGGGAGGGGAGGGGAAGCTGTTGGAGAAGAGGGGGACAGTTGGCGGGGGAAGGGCCAGATGGGCGAAGCTGGGACTCTGGCTCAGATAGTGGAGAAGGTACAGCCATCCTGACAAGGATGGGACAAAGAGGGGCTTGGCGATGACATTCTTCTACTTGCAGTAACTTATTTTGGGCTGGGTGTGGTTGCTCATGTCTGTAATCCCAGCACTTTGGAAAGCCGAGATGGGTGGATCACCTGACGTCAGGAGTTCAAGACCAGCCTGGCCAACACAGTGAAACCCCGTCGCTACTAAAAATACAAAAATTAGCCGGGCATGGTGGTAGGTGCCTGCAATCCCACTTACTGGGGAGGCTGAGACAGGAGAATCACTTGAACCCCAGGAGGTGGAGGTTGCAGTGAGCTGAGATTGCACCACTGCACTCCAGCCTGGGCAGCAGAGTGAAACTTCATCTCAAAAAAAAATACCTTATTTTGAAATTATTTCAAACTTTCAGAAACATTGTTGAGCAGAATAGAAAACTTTCATATTTTCTTTACCCAAATTCCCCAGCTGTGCACATTTGACCCCATCTGCTCCCTCTCTCTCCCATGTGTGCGTATGCATGTGTGCATGAGTGTGATGCATGTATGCATGTGTGTACGTGTGTGTGTGATGTGTGTGTGCATGTGTGTACATGCATGTGTGAGTGGTGTGTATGCATGAGTGTGATGCATGCGTGCATGTGTGTGATGTCTGTATTGTGTATGTGTGCGCATGCATGCATGAGTGTGATGCATGTCTCTCGTCTTTCTGGTCCCAGCTCCCATCCAGAAAGACATGTCACCCTCCACTGTGTCTTCAGGCTCCTTAAGTCTAGAGCTGCTTCTCCCCTTTCCCTGCCTCTCCTGTCCTTGTCCTGACCTCGCATCTTCTAGGCTGATGCTCAGAGATCCCTCTGTTTTTTTCTGGGGACCTGACTCAGGGCCCGGGGTCCTGCAGGAACCTCAGCTTCAAGGCCTGATCCTGGGCATCCCATTCCACCACAGGATGCCCCAGCCTACCACAGTATACCCCAGCCCACCACAGGATACCCCAGCCCACCACAGGATACCCCAGCCCACAGCAGGATACCCCAGCCCACAGCAGGATACCCCAGCCCACCGCAGGATTCCCCAGCCCACCACAGGTTACCCCAGCCCACCGCAGGATTCCCCAGCCCACCACTGACTTCACTTTTACTTGCTATCTTCCCTCTGTGACTGATGAGTGTTTTCTGGGGACAGATTCTGAGGTTAGACCAGTATTCTCCTCCTCATCAAACTTCTGCACAGCTCCCGCCATGTCAGCACCTCTACCATTCCTTCCACGTTCACAGGTCACGTTCTCCTGTAGGAAACCAGGTGGCCATGGCCATTACCTCTGGGTCTGTATCCCTGTAGACTCTGATCCCCCCTCCGCATTGCATTGTGATCGTTCCTGATGTTACATAGTTTGGCGCTCATTCTGTCCCTAGGGTAGCCAGAGGTACTCCACCAAGCTGGCTCTTGGATCTTTCTGACCTGCCACCCCCCAACACACGCACACACTGTGAGCCTCCCCCACTTCAGATCCAATTCACACTGTCCATCCCCTGGAATTAGCCAGAGCCCCAAGGACCCGGGTTCCTTTGAGAGGAGGATGATGGGTAGGAACCAAAATTTGGGCTATTCATTGCTCCTGGAGCACCACTGCCTCTAGGCCCTCTCATCGGACAGAACTGGAAAGCATAGGTGTGTAGGCACATGCACAGGTAGGCGTGGGAATCTGTGGGAGTGTTCTAAAACCATGAGTTCATGCCGATGGCTCCCGTTCCACACCTCAGGCTCCCTTCTAACCACCTCCCGCCACCACCATCTCCACGTTTGTAAGCATCTTCCCCAGCACTGAGCAACGTGGCTCCCTTTCTCCTTAATTCACATGTTTATTCAGTTTCCTGACTAACTCATCAGTGGACATATTTGTTCAGTGCAGCGGACCACACTGTGCTGTCTTCAGCCCCTCCTCTCCTCACTGTGCCCCCTCACACCTCACCCACTGGCCCACGCCTGTCTCAGCCCCAGTCTCTCCACACTGCCCCACATCTTCAGGGGTCAACTGCTCCACTCCGGAAGGACAAGGGATCTTGCTTTGGTATTAAATGACTGTAGAATGTCCAAGTGGTGACATCCAGGAGGCAGTTTGCTAAAGTCAGAGGGCAGGGTGTGGAGTAGAGAGAGGACGGGTGGGGGGAGTGAGGCCCACAGGCTTTTACAAGGGGGTGGAGATGGGGGGGGTCTGCACAGGACTCTGAGGTACAGCAGCCAGGGGGCCAGGCTTCATGGCCCTCACAGATGGCTGCCCCCGGGTCCTGACCCAGGCTCTTCTGGGATGGGTTAGGGGCCCCTCTGTGTCCTTGGAGGCCCAGAGAACAAGGACTGTGCCTAGCTGGGTGTGGTGGCTCATGCCTATAATCCCAGCACTTTGGGAGGCTGAGGCGGGTGGATCACTAGGTCAAGAGATCGAGACCATCCTGGTCAACAAGGTGAAACCCCGTCTCTACTAAAAATACAAAAACTAGCTGGGCATGCCTATAATCCCAGCTACTCAGGAGGCTGAGGCAGGAGAATTGCTTGAACCCAGGAGGCGGAGGTTGCGGTGAGCCAAGGTCGTGCCATTGCACTCCAGTCTGGGTAACAACAGCGAAACTCTGTCTCAAAAAAGAAAGAAAAGAACTGTGCCTATAAGGAGAGCCTGGGCTTGAGCACACAGGAGACCACCCGGCCTCCCGCCTCTGCCTCCAGCAGCCTCTCCACTTTCCTCTGCAGTTGCCTGCGGGCCTGGCACCCACTTCAGTGGTGAGCTCGGCCAGTGTGTGCCATGCTTGCCAGGGACATACCAGGACAGAGAAGGCCAGCTCAGTTGCACACCGTGCCCCAGCAGCGACGGGCTTAGTCTGGCTGGTGCCCGCAATGTCGCGGAATGTGGAGGCAAGTGTGGACCTACCCTAGAATGAGGGGTGGGGGTGGGGAGTGGACTGGGGCTCCTCCTGTCTCTGATGAGGCTCCTAAAACAAAGGCCTGAATGCCTGCTATGGCCAGAGAGCATGGTCTTTTCCAAAGCCTTTCACAATGTCCATGCAGTCACCACTTACAAAGTGCGCTGCAGAACCCAAAGCGTCGGGGCATCTTGGAATACCCAGTACCCAGTACTACATATAGTAGTACTACACATAGTATAGTACTACACATTACATATGTACTGGGTACATAGTAATACCCAGTACCCAGTACTACACATAGTATAGTACTACACATTACATATGTACTGGGTACATAGTAATACCCAGTACCCAGTACTACACATAGTATAGTACTACACATTACATATGTACTGGGTACATAGTAATACCCAGTACCCAGTACTACACATAGTATAGTACTACACATTACATATGTACTGGGTACATAGTAATACCCAGTACCCAGTACTACACATAGTATAGTACTACACATTACATATGTACTGGGTACATAGTAATACCCAGTACCCAGTACTACACATAGTATAGTACTACACATTACATATGTACTGGGTACATAGTAATACCCAGTACCCAGTACTACACATAGTATAGTACTACACATTACATATGTACTGGGTACATAGTAATACCCAGTACCCAGTACTACACATAGTATAGTACTACACATTACATATGTACTGGGTACATAGTAATACCCAGTACCCAGTACTACACATAGTATAGTACTACACATTACATATGTACTGGATACATAGTAATACCCAGTACCCAGTACTACACATATAGTAGTACCCAGCCCTACACTGCACTCCATGTACCTGCAGAACTGCATCGTGCACTTTGGAAGGGACTTCACAGCGTGCAGGCACTTCAGCATTTACAAATCAATGCATGCTTTCTAAGGGAGGTGCAGAAGTGCCTTCCGGTGGACCAGACAGCTTACAGTTGACGGCACATTCCATTATGACCGCAGCACTTTGCAGAGTGTGTCTTATACTTGGGAAGAACTTTTTCTTTGGGCTCTACACAAAGAACTTTATGATGTGCCCCATCAATGGTTTAGAAGGCCCTTTTTCAATTTACCAAACATAATCAGGCTTGCAAAGAGCTTTTCCATTTCCTTCCCTCTCCTCCCTTAACTCTGCCCCCTGGGAGAGCCTCTTTGAAACATGTGACCTCCCCCTCCACCTAGGGGTCCCCTTCCCAGCTCCCCAGCAAGGCCTCTTGCTGGTCGACCCCCAGGCCTTCTTGCTACTGGGAGAAGGAAATCCAGACTTGATCAAGGCGGCACAGGAACTGCTGGCAGCATCCAGACCAGGAGCCCTGCCTCCTGCACCCAGCCTGCTGCATTCTCCCCACCCTAGGCCTTGGGTGATTGGTGCCTTTTCCAGGGCCAGGCAAGGCCAGGAACAGGGCCCAAGATTACCCACAGCCTTAGCCCTGAGTCACCCTCCCGCCCACCTGAGCCATGACCTCTGACTTCCAGGCCAGTGCCCTCCAGGGTTCTTCTCAACTGATGGCTTCAAGCCCTGCCAGGCCTGCCCCATGGGCACGTACCAGCCCGAGCCCGGGCGCACCGGCTGCTTCCCCTGCGGAGGGGATTTGCTCACCAAGCACGAAGGTACTACCTTCTTCCAGGACTGCGAGGCTAAAGGTGAGCATGCCCCCGCTGCCTACCCACCCCAAGGGGCAGGGCTGTGCTGCTCGGGAGGCTTTCCCAAACCCCTCTCATCTCCTGCATGTGGCAAACTGCCCAACTCAGAGGAGGAGCCTGGAGCTGTCAGGCATGGGCATGGGTGACCTACTGTGCCCTGCATTAGGACAGGGATGCCTTATAGCTGAGAGCTTTCCGAACTCCAGGGGGTAAGCAGCAGCTCCCTGGGGCACTAGGGAGGGCTCTAGGGACAGGAGGTCTTGGGCAGGGTCTAGAACGGAGGTTGCAAGGGTGAGCAGGGGCAGGAGTGTGGGGGCAGGAGCAGGATCACGGCGCCACCTCAACTGCTGTCTGTTCAGGGCACCTGGTCCCACCCAGATTTGCTACCCCCTTTTCTCACTCACCAACTCCCCCAAGTCCTCCCCACTCTCAGCTGCTGACCCTGCTTCCCCATCATGCTCCCTCTCAGCATCTGTTCATCTGTCCGGGTGGCCTGGCCCTCAGTCCCCTCGAGTCACATCACCAGATACTCCCCCTGCACAAACAAACCGCTCCAGATTTGCCCGTTTAAGAAAAGAATTGAAGCCAGGCATGGTGGCTCACACCTATAATCCCAGCACTTTGGGAGGCCGAAGTGGGTAGATCACCTGAGGTCAGTAATTCGAGGCCAGTCTGGCCAACATGGCAAAATCCCATCTCTTCTAAAAATATACAAAAAAATACAGAATGCCCAGGCATGGTGGTGCACATCTATAATCCCAGCTACTCGGGAGGCTGGGGCAGGAGAATCGCTTGAACCCAGGAGGTGGAAGTTGCAGTGAGCCGAGATGACACCACTGCACTCCAGCCTGGGTGGCAGAGAAAGGCTCTGTCTCAACAACAAAAAAAAAATGCCCACCTCTAGCCCCTACCCCGCCACCCTTCAGACTCTGGCTGCCTCTCTCTCCTTCCCTAGCAACCTTGTAGAAAGAGGGTTTAGCCTGGCAGACCTGCTTCCCCTCCTCCCTGCCTCCCTTGAGCAACTCTGGCCACCTCATCACCCCTGTTCTCCCTGAAAACTGCTCCCATCAAGGTTGCCTGTGTGGTCCCTGTGTGGCTGGAGCCAACATCACATCAATCTGCCGTGTGACCCCGAGCCATGGGTTCTTCCTGGCTGTGGTGGAGCAAGGGTGGTGGGAGGTCATGGGGGCGGTGGGAAGAGCCTTAAATTCTGCGCCAAGACAGACCTCGAGGGCATGGGAGGTCCCGCGGACAGAGCTCCCCAGCGCTGGCCTTTCCCCGCACCCCTCCATACCCACCACACCCCACTGTGTCCCCCGGCAGTGCACTGCTCCCCCGGCCACCACTACAATACCACCACCCACCGCTGCGTCCGCTGCCCGGTCGGCACCTACCAGCCAGAGTTTGGCCAGAACCACTGCATCACCTGTCCAGGCAGCACCAGCACGGACTTCGATGGCTCCACCAACGTCACGCACTGCAAAAGTGGGTGCTGCTGCTCCGCAGCGGGAAGCTGGGAGGTTGGGCAGCGGGAGGAGACCTGATCCCACACAAGGTCCACAAGGACACTGTTGATTCCTCCTGCTCCGTCACATCTGCTCCGGGGCACCCTGCATGGGTCTGGAGGCCTGTGGCACCAAAGGGACAGCCCTGGCTTGGCCCTGTCTGCAGAGTCACGCAGTGGTGGCCCTCATTCATCAGTTCCCACTCCATCCAACACAGCCCGAGCCTCTACCCTGGGCCAGGCCCTGCTCTAGTTTCTGGGTCTGCTGGGGGAGCTGACAGCCTAGAAGGGCACTGATGCAGCCACTAGAGGGGGTAGGGTTCTGGGTTCTCTCAGTGCCCCTAACAAGGCCCAGCCACAGAGAAATCGGGTGGCCTTGGAGCAAGGCAGCCCAGTAAGAAGGAGCCCCCAGGCTGGGCCTCAGAGAACCACAGGCGAGAACAGCGGCCTACCCTCCTACTCTGGGGGAAGCCCAGGCAGGGTCCCCAAGGAGGATGGGCTCAAGGCCCAAGGGCTGGTGGAGCAGGGAACAATAGCACCTGCCAGCCCACCCGGGGCCTCCCTGGCTGTTAGAGACCTGGCTGGCCAGGGCACCTGCCTAGCAGAGCCTGATGAGGCCCGCGGGCCACTGTGCCCACAGACCAGCACTGTGGTGGCGAGCTTGGTGACTACACGGGCTACATCGAGTCCCCCAACTACCCTGGCGACTACCCAGCCAACGCGGAATGCGTCTGGCACATCGCGCCACCCCCGAAGCGCAGGATCCTCATCGTGGTCCCTGAGATCTTCCTGCCCATCGAGGATGAGTGTGGTGACGTTCTGGTCATGAGGAAGAACGGTATGTGGGACGGAGGGACCAGAGGCAGCCTCAGCCACTCCTGCAGCCCCATCTCGGTGCGGCTCCACCAGGCAGGATCACTGCCTTCATGGGGCAGAGAGGAGGGCCCCAGGGCTCAGAGGGGACCAGCCCCTCAGAGTCCACCTGGGAGGCAGGGTTGAAACCCACTTAGGTTTAAGAGCTGGCTTTACAGAGTTCTGTGGAAAGATCTGGAGAGTTTAGGGTATCCCCTGAGAGTAGATGTGGGGACATGGTCACGCCTGGTCTCAACTCTGGCCGCAAGCCAGGCCCTCATCCCAGTGGTGGGACCAACCACAGGGCCCCTTCCCACCGCTTTCTGTCACACCTCTCAAGGCAGGACCTCAGGCTCCAGCTCCACAGGCCTCCTCCCGCCCACTGAGGTTTGGGGGACCACAGGGCCATCCTATGCACCACACAAGGTACCAGCTCAGAGCGCCCATCCCACCCCTCTGTGAGCCCCAGACTCCTGGCTCATCAGCCCCCATCAGGGCCTCTTTTGAGACATCAGGGAGCAAAGCTGGAATGGCATGAGAGATGACTGGACTCAGCAGTGGGTGGGACCGAGTGTGTGCCCAGATGGCCACAGCAGCAGGCATTGCCTGGGAGGCCCCTGAGTGCCCCCCAGTGCCAGCCAAATCCCCGAAGTGTACCCAGCCAGGGGACCTCGCTGCTGTCAGGCTGTGGGTGCCCATGGGAGCAAGCTCTGTGCTGGAGTGTTAGGAGAGGAAGAGCAGGAACCCAGACGCCCACAAACACTGGGCCTAGAACATCTCTGGGTACACAGCAACCACAGAGACTGGCCAGAGGAGTAGGGAGGGAAGGGGCCTGAGGTCTGCTCTGGGCTGCCCGGCTGGAGGAGCTGTGGTATCCTGCGCAGGAAGTGCTCAGCCTACTGACGAGCAGATGTCAGCATGGCTGATGCAGCTGACCAGCCGAAAGCTGCAGTGTGCAGAGATGGCCAAGGGACCGGCCCGGGACCACCTTCCCTGCCTGTTCCCCTTACCCACTCCCCTGCCTCCAGCATCCCCCTCCCTCTGTCCCCCACAAGGCTGAGCTCAAGTGAAGCCCAGCCTCTCCCCAATGAGGGGCTCCTTGGGAGGGTCCCCAAGGAGCTGTGAGTCCTTCCCAAAGAGCCCCTGAGCTGGGAGAGGCTGGGCAGGGCTGGGGACTCCCACTGTCACCATGTCTGAGAAAAGGATGGTTTGCAGTTTGGGAAGATTCATTTGCCAGTCATGTGCTGTGCCCACACTGCTGCCCTTGGCTCCTGATCTCCTCCTCAGGAGATCAGCGCTTGGGGGACTGCGTTGACACATTCGCTCTCAGGGAGAAAGGACTTCCTGAGTCTGTGCTGGTTCATCTCCCACGCCCTCCCCCAGCTTCCACTCCATGTGTCGAGTGCAGGCCTGAGCCTTGTCACAGAGGAGCAGTTAGCTAGAAGGAGATGGAGACCCCCGATAAAGGGGCCTGTGATAAGGGGTTCCCCAGAGCAGAGCAAGATCTTGGGAGGGGAGGAAGGGAGCAGTCAGGGAGGTGTCCTGTAAGAGGGGGCAGAGAGATGGATCTCAGAAGGACAAGTAGGAATCAGGGTTGAGGGCAGGAAAGGGCCTCAGAGGCAGAGGGAACAAGCATGAAGACTAAGCTGTTGTGTTTGGGGGACCAGGCGTTCGGTGCAGGTGCTGGGTGGCAGACTGGGTGGGAAGCGAGAAGCCCAGGGCAGGAGGAGCTGTACACTCGCAGCAGCTCAGCAGTGGTGCTTGGCCGCAGCCTCACCCACATCCGTCACCACCTACGAGACCTGCCAGACCTACGAGAGGCCCATTGCCTTCACCTCCCGCTCCCGGAAGCTCTGGATCCAGTTCAAATCCAATGAAGGCAACAGTGGCAAAGGCTTCCAGGTGCCCTATGTCACCTACGACGGTAAGGCCCCAACTGTCTTCACGGCCCCCTGTGCATAGCTCCGAAGGGGCCAGGTAGACACAGAGATGAGTCGCACGTTCCCGCCCTCAGGGAGCTGTGACCTGGCAGGCATAGACCCAGAAGCAGAACGAACACTCTCGGGGCCAGAGCCAGACAGGCGGAGGGTGGTCCCGGGTGGTACAGGCAAGGCAGCGGCCAGTGGCATCTGCAGGCCTCGGGTGAGGTGCCACCCAAGCAGGGCTTTGAAGGCTAAATTGGGGGTTCTCTGCTGGGCACAGTGGCTCACGCCTGTAATTCCAGCACTTGGGAGGCCAAGGTGGGTGGATCACCTGAGGTCAAAAGCTCAAGACCAGCCTGGCCAACACTGTGAAATCCGTCTCTACTAAAAATACAAAAATTAGCCAGGCGTGGTGGTGGGCATCTATAATCCCAGCTACTCAGGAGGCTGAGGCAGGAGAATCTCTTGAGCCCGGGATGCAAAAGTAGCAGTGAGCCAAGATCATGCCACTGCAGTCCAGCCTGGGCAACAGAGTGAGACTCTGTCTCAAAAAAGAAAAAAAAAATTGGGGGATTCTTAGCAAAACTCCAAGGAGGACAATACAGTTAGAGGGAGCCCCCGCTGAAAGGCACAGAGGCAGAGTGCGTCCCGCCAGACCTGGGAGCCTGTGGCTGAAGCAGGGGAGGAGGGCAGAGGCTAGAGATGAAAGGGGAGCCGGTGGGGTCTCAAGCCCCTCATCTTCCTCTCCCCCGGCTCATCTGCTGCCCAGAGGACTACCAGCAACTCATAGAGGACATCGTGCGCGATGGGCGCCTGTACGCCTCAGAGAACCATCAGGAGATTTTGAAAGTAAGTGAGTTTATTGAAAGGAAATTGTCGTAACCTTGGGATGGGGCCTGTGATGAGCCAGGGCCATCCCTGCCTCAGCCCTGGCCTCTGGCCCCTGGAGACACAAGGGAGGATGGATGGTGATGGGGGAGGAGCAGGAGTCCTGAGGGTCCCAGAGCCCTAAGGGCAGGGACTGGGTCCTGCATGTCTGTCCCTCCAGACCAGGAGGCCTGAGGGAAGCTGTTTGGTGGGGATGTGGGGACCAGGACCCAGTGATGTGATCTCGGGCAGGCTCCTCGCCAGCTCTCAGCCTTACTCTCCTCATCTGTAGAGGGAGGGTGTTCTGGGGGTTGCTGTCTCAGAACCAGTGGGATCTACCCAGTGCTGCTATCACTTGGAGCCCCCCTGCTGCTGGGACTGGGCTCCTTCCTCTTCCTGCTTCTGGCCTGGAGAGGCCGGGCCACCTGGTATGTCACATGGTAAGCACTGGCCAGAGGCCCAGAGACCCACCCAGCTCAGCCCTGGGCAGCAGCACCGTCAGCCCAGGAGCCCTGGGTGTGGAGGACAAGGGCAGTGTTGGGGATGGTTTGCAGGCTCTGAAAGGTTCACTGGAGCCCCCCATAGTCTGCCAGTCACGCGCTGCCGCACTCAGCTCCCTGTTTCCTCCTCAGGCTGCGAAGGCAGAAACCAGGGATGCATCCTGGACTTGCCCCTCCTCTCCATCCCTGTTGCCCCAGCTCCACCCTGGGAGCAACACTCCCAAACAGAGCAGCATCTGAGGCTGCTCTGGGGACACAAACCTCAGCCATCCTCCTCCGCAGCAGCTCTCAGCTCCTCACGCTCACCAGGGCCTCTCGGGAACGTTCTTCCCCAACTCTTTCCCCAGCGAACGTCCCCCCCCCCGCCATCCTTCTCCCTTCAGCTGGAACATCCTGTCGTCCTCTGTGGGGTCTGCCTGGATCTCCCTGACCTGGGCACATCCTTCGCAGACCCTTGGGTCCCAGTGCCCCTCCTTCCTGGCACCCACCAGTACCCACTTTAGGTTTGTTGTGTGAATATTTAGTCCCTGCCCTGCTTGGCAGGGAGGAGCTGCTGGGGTTCATGGTCAACTCTGCCTCCAGGACTGGCACTGTGCCCAGCACAGAGGAGGGCAGGAGTGTCTGTCTCCAGGGCATGGGCTCAGGATACATGTGTGTGGTGAGTGTGGGGGAGTGTGTTGACTGTGGTGTATTTAGGGGGGGCTGTGGTAAGTTTGGAGGTGTTGAGTGTGTCTGTGCTGTATGGTGTGTATGTAGGGGTGTGTAGTGTGTATATAGGGATATGCATGTAGGGGTGTGTGGTGTGAGGTGTGTGGGGGTATGTGGTGTGTGTAGGGGTGAGTGTGCAGTGAGTGGGGGTGTGGTGTGTGTTAGGTGTGTAGTGAGTGGAGGTGTGGGTGTGGTGTGTGTAGGGGTGAGTGTGGTGAGTGGGTGTGTGGCGAAGGGGGTGTGGTGGGTGTGGTGTGTTGTCGGGGTGAGTAATGAGGGGGTGTGGTGTGTGTTAGGTGTGTGGTGAGTGGAAGTGTGGTGGGTGTGGTGTGTGTAGGGGTGAGTGTGTGGTGAGTGGGTATGGTGCTTATATAGGGGGTACGTGGAGGTGTGCTAGATGTGTGTGGGGTGTGGTGGGTGTGTACGCAGAGAGATGCGTGTGTGCCAGGACAGGTCTGCCCCAGAGACAGCAGATGCGGCCACAGTTACCAGGACAAGGAGCCCTCATGCCCTCGGTGGTAGTTGCCATTTGCTGAACAGCTTCCCTGGGCCAGGCTCTGGGGACTCCATCAGGAACCAGACCTCCACCAGACCTTACCTCTGCTCTGTAGTTTCTGCCCAGCGTGGCAGCCAGTGCCCCACTAGAGAGACGAGACTCAGAGACGGGGCTCAGAGAGGGCGGGGACTGTGTCTGCTCTCCAGAGACGGCTGCGGGAAAACAGTCCCGGGTTTGCTGCCTAGATCCCCCAGGCAAACCTGTACCGCTGAGGACAGGCTCTCTGCTCATGCCAGTACAGATCATTTTCCTCGAAGCCCCAGGAAGAGGCATCATGACCTCTCTGTGCAGGGAAGAATGGAATTCGGAGCACAGAGCAGTGTCCCCAAGGTTCAGGGGCCAGCGAGCAGGCCTGAAGTGATGATCGGGATGTGCCGGCTGCAGAGCCTATGCTCTTGGCTGAGTGTTCTGTTTGCAAACGTTGTTGTGTTGTTTGGGAACCCTTTGTTAATAAAATCTTTTTTTTTCTTTTTTAAGAAAAAGTCTCACTCTGTCGCCCAGGCTGGAATGCAGTGGCATACTCTCGGCTCACTGCAATCTCCGCCTCCCGGTTTCAAGCGATTCTCCTGCCTCGGCCTCCCAAGTAGCTGGAATCACATGCCACCACACCTGGCTAATTTTTGTATTTTTAGTAGAGATGGGGTTTCACCATGTTGGTCAGGCTGGTCTCGAACTCCTGACCTCAGGTGATCTGCCCTCCTCTGCTCCCAATATGCTGGGATTACAGGCATGAGCCACTGCGCCTGACCTTTAATAAAATCTTATCGGAATCCCAAGAGTTAATACCAATGGTCTGTTTAAAAACCAGTTATGGGATGGGTGTGGTGGCTCACACCTGTAATCCCAGCACTTTGGGAGGCCGAGGCAGGTAGATCGCTTGAGGTCAGTAGTTTGAGACCAGCCTGGCCAACATGGTGAAACCTCTTCTCTACTAAAAATACCAAAATTAGCTGAGCATGGTGACGGGCACCTATAATCCCAGCTAATTAGGAGGCTGAGTTGTGAGAATCACTTGAACCCAGGAGGCAGAGTTTGCAGTGAGCCAAGATCACTGTACTCCAGCCTGGGCGACAGAGACTCAGTCAAAAAATAATAATAATAACCAGTTATGGCCAGGTGCGGTGGCTCACGCCTGTAATCCCAGCACTTTGGGAGGCCGAGGCAGGTGGATCACCTGAGGTCAGGAGTCCAAGACCAACCTAGCCAACATGGTGAAACCCCGTCTCTACTGAAAAGATAAAACTTAGCCAGGTATGGTGGCATGTGCCTATAGTCCCAGCTACTCAGAAGGCTGAAGCAGGAGAATTGCTTTAACTCAGGAGGCAGAGTGTGGTGAGCTGAGATACACTCCAGCCCACTGCACTCCAGCCTGGGTGACAGAGCAAGATTCTACCTCAAAAAATAAATAAATAAATAGCCAGTTACACTATTAAAACCAAAAGAAGCTCTTTGGGGTCCTGAAACCTACCAGCCAGCCCAACTCACCCAGCCTGGCAACGCCCCACAGACCCTGCAGGCGCAAGCCTCCCCCACCTCTCCCATCCACTCTATCTTGCAGGACAAGAAGCTAATCAAGGCCCTGTTTGACGTGCTGGCCCATCCCCAGAACTACTTCAAGTACACAGCCCAGGAGTCCAAGGAGATGTTTCCACGGTCCTTCATCAAACTGCTGCGCTCCAAAGTGTCTCGGTTTCTGCGGCCCTACAAATAACCGGGGGGAGTGGCCCTGCCTGGGGCTGGCCTGGTCCATGGAGGGTGCACCTGCCCTCCACAGCGGGAGCTGCACAGGCCTCTACATGGCCTTGGGAACCCCATGGCACTCCCCTTCAGGGAAGCTGACCAGCCCGTGGAGACCAAGCCCAGGCACCCTTCAGACCCGCCACCCCAGTGGGAGCACCCTGCTTCAGGAAGCCTCCCTCCCTCCCTCTGCCTCCCTCCTAGGACACCAAGAGCACCCTCTCCTGAGTCCTGGCGTACCGACTGCAAGTAGCAGGATTGCAGGACCCTCTGCCTGGTGTTTGAGGATCCGGAAGGCGTGGTCTCCGAGACAGGAGGCCAGGCGGAGGGAGGAGGGGGCCAAGGTGCCATTGGGGGAGGTGGATGAGCCTGTGCCATCATCCTCAGGCCCCACGCTCTGCCAACTCCTCCAGCCACAGGCAAGGCCACCGCTCCCAGGATTCTGTGATGGGGCGGAACAGAGCTGCTAGGGGAGGAGACTGTAGGTTTCTGCTTTCCTTCGACAGAACATTTAATGAAGTACTCTCTCTATATATAAATATAAAGATAAAATATATATATATACTTCTATTTGTGGGTATTTTAGGAAAATGCTCTTTGGTTACTGTAAATATGAATCGTGACCCCATCCCTTCCCGCATGAGGCCAGAGAGTCCCAGCAGCTCTAAGCCTCCCTGAATGATTAAACAACTCCTCCCAGCCTTTGCCCTGCTGTCTCTGTGAGGCCGGGAACCCGCAGGGCTCGGGGAGCAGCTTGCCTTGGACTTGCTTCAGAACGGGAATTCTTCAAGAACTGGGCTTGGAGGCTCTGCTGGAGTATCGGCTCGGCCCCAGTCCCCTTGCCAGTAACATCACTGCCCTCGGACGAGACTCGGTGGAAGACACTTTCCCCTTGGACCCGTTCCTAGGAGGTGCAGGGGCCCAGCAATAAACCACAGAAGGGGCCTTGGCTCTAACCCTGTGGCAGTGACCTCGGGGTCCGTACTGTGCCCACGTGTCACCAGGAAGCAAGGCCTTGCTCACAGGAGCACAGGCTGTGCTACTTCAAGGGGCCTCAGAGCAGCCAGTGAGGGAAGGAAGAGAGCAGAGCTGACAGAGTCAGAGGCCTGGCTCCCAGCACAGCCTCCTCTCGCTACACTATGCTGTCCCCACTCAGAGGGAAACCTCTTTCCTTTCATGTCAAGGAAAGATGCTTAATTGACTCCCAGTTCCACATGGCTGGGGAGGCTTCAGGAAACTTGCAATCATGGCAGAAGATGAAGGGGAAGCAAAAACGTCTTCACAAGGCGGCAGGGGAGAGAAGTGAGGAATGCCGGGAGAAAGAGTAGTCGGCTGTGACCGAGTGCCTGCGTCCCACCCAGCCGGGAGGTCAGCACTGGGATGGAGCCAGCAGAACTCAGGTCCAGGAGGCCTCGCCTGCTCGTCATCTGCCTGCGGGCTGTGGACCTGCATGGAAAATGGTCTGTATTTTTCAAGTTAAGAAATACTGAAAATCCCAAGTAGCATGGGAGAATCTTAAAACGAACTCCAGTCTTCAGCTCAAAGTTGCCTCTGAGGTTCCTCCTGGTCACCCCCAGGCCCAGCCTGGCTGCCGAGAACCGAGCATGGTTTGAGAGGCTGTGGCACACTGAGCACTGCAGAGATGGAGGCAGGCAAGTGAGGTCCCTCTAGGCTTGGTGACAAAGGAGGCAGGTCATCACATGTTCTACAGCCCGAAAGAGGGCTCGGAGCTCAGGAATTCCGTGTGCCCGCAGCAGTGTGGTCCCCAGCCTGGCTGCTGCTGCCATCAGCCACCTTGTCTGCTGAAGTCCAACTCAAGCTGGAGAGAGTGGAGCCTCTGCACTTGGTGGATAGGACAGTGTCCACTAACAAGCCATGCTGGGGGCCACACTGCCCCTCCTCTGGTCACAGTCTTCGCAGGCCAGCCCTGGTTTCTGGGAAGAGGCCTCCCTCCCTCCCTTTGTCAAGCTATCAGTCATCCCCAAGATGAGAGAGGAGTATCCTTCTGAATGAGCCTGAGCAACAGCTTCTGAGGGGATGCCAGGAGGGGTGTCACCTCTTCATGAGTGTGCTCCAAAGAAACGGAACCCAGAAGACATAGATGTAGATATGTGAGGGGCTGCATTACAGGAACTGGCTCGCGGATTTCTAGAGGCCAAGAAGTTCCACGATCTGCCATCTGCCAACTGGAGCCCAGGAGAAGCCACACCCTAACTCAGTCTGAGTTCAAAGCCTGAGAAGCCAGGGGTCACCCTGTGAGTCCCAGCATCCAGTGCCCCGAGAACCAGGATGATGGCTGTCCCAGCTCCAAGAGAGAGGATTCTCCCTTCCTCCACCTTCTGTCCTATCTGGGCCCTCAACAGATTGGATGGAGTGAATGTCTTCACTTAGATGCTAACCTCTTCTGGAAATGCCCTCATGTTTTCCCAGCTAGCTGGGTCTCCCTTCACCCAGCCAAGACAACCATGAAATCAACCATCACATTTAAGGGTTTTTACATCCTTTCCAAAAACAGAAAGAACTCTTCATCTCTCCGAGCTCTTTCTGCAGTTCCTTTGGGTGGTTTCTGAAAGTTGCCACCCACATACCCACAGATCCACTGCGCACCGCCCCCCTCCCCATGTTCCACAACTCGCCATGGTGGTCAGACCCTGCCCAGCATGCCCGGGGCAGAGTTGGATGGGCAGGTGCAGATGCGGCCCAGCCTTCATCCTGCTCTTCCTTGAAAGCCATTCTGTAGCTCCCAGCCATGAGAGCCCATGAGGAGTGTGAGGGTGCCAGCAGCCCCTCTGGGCCTCCCACACCATCTGGGTGACTTGAAGTCCAGGGCTGGACACTGTCTTGAGCCTCCACATTGGCCTCATCTGGGGAACGTGGGGGTCCCCCCGTTCAACTAGAGCCGACAGAGCAGGATGGTCCCAAGGAGAGCTCCATGGACAGCAAAATGCATTTCTTCCAGTTGGCGTGCCGTTGAAGCCAAAGGCAGCTTGACTGATGTGAGGTGGCCGTTCCACCTGGTCCAAGCCGGAGGCATAGAGAAAAGGGAAGTGGGGAACAAGGACAGGGCCAGGTAGGACGGATCCACATGACAAGGCCCAAGAAAAGACTCAAGCTGAGGGCAGAGCGTGCAGGATACCCCGTGCTCTCTGGGGGGAAGCCAGCCCCTCCTCAACTGTGGCCTGAGCAGCTGATGTGGTCCCCAGTGCTGCACGCTGTGCTCCCCGTGCAGAGGAGAGGAGCAAGGGGCAGGCTGCCAGGAGTCCCCACTCCGCCAGGCTTCTCTGAGCTTGGGTCAGCTCCTAGTGAAACATTGCACCCCAGGGAACTGGAGGACTTCTGTGAAGATGGGCATGGAAAACGGGGTGTCTCTCACACAGCTCCCAGGAGTCAGGTGGGACCCAGGCTTGGGAGGATCTTTCTGTCTCACATTCCTGGCATCACCCCAAGTTTGTTTCTACTTTCCAGAAACCACAGAAACGGAAGTAACCTGCGGCAGGCTTTCGAGGCCGGCCAGGCACTCTGTGAGTGAGGGCTCCCATAGCCGCTAAGGGCAGCCCGCAGCCAGGTGGCCTCACCCACTGCCCAGAATGAGACTGCCCTTTCCCAGTCCTTCCCCTTGCCACAGCCTCACCGTCGCGCTAACTTCCCTCCTCCAGCTCTGGCTCTCCACCGGCCTCTCAAGCAGCAGAATCAGCCTACGCTCCCCAGCCTTGGTGCCCCTGCCCCACACAGGTCATCCTGGTGACCAGTTTCCCAAATGCTGGCTCCCCAAGGAGACAATGTGGCCCATTCCTCCTCCTCCTCCATGGTGGCCCAGGCAGCAGGGCCCATGGTGGAGGCCTCAGGCAGCTTTCTCTCCAGCTACCCATTGGCCTGGGACAGATACACAGATAAAGTAGAGCAGAAACATGGGCCAAGACATCCCCAGACAAGGAGGGCACAAGAGGCCACATTTGAAAGCCCTGGGAGAAAAGCCCTTTCCCCTGCCTCTGGCTAGCGTGCTTTTCTGTCTGAATGGCCTCCCTTTCATGCACGCTCAAGAGACACACGGTCTACAGGCAGCCTCTTGGTGAAGCCGCTCCCCTGGGCTTGTCCACGTAGGAGGCCCCTGGCCTGTCCAGGCCATAGCAATGCTTAATTTACATTTTTAGAGCTGAATCTTATTCCAGCACCTCCACCACTCAGTAGTAAAATAACACACTGAAATAAGTTGAGTCATTTAGCGAGCACCTCCTGTGTGCCAGGCTCCTAGAAAGACAGGGAGCCAGTGCCCTGCATAGTCAACAGACTGCCCCGGACAGCCTGCTCACCTCGCCTGGCACAATGCATGCCCCTCAGGGAGAAGCCCTCCTTCTCACCCAGGGATTCCAGCCATTGTCACCTTCCCTGGTCCATACTCAGGAAATCTGGTCACCCTGGCAAACTGCAGCTGACATTGAGGTCCCTTTTCTTCACCAAAGATGCACAGGTGTCTGTGCTGAGCTGATGTCATTCAGGCCAAGTGCAGAGGATGTGATGGGGGTTGGAGGGAGGACATGGAGAGAGAGCAGGGAGCTCCTATTCTCCCATGGCTATCTCTGCCCCATGGCACCCACAGATCCCTGGCCCTTCCAGGAGTAAGTCCTGGGCAGGCAGAGCTGGAGTTGGCCTGATCCCACCTGCCTTGCTCTTGGAAAGGACATCAGGTGTGGGCAAAGCATCCTTGGAGCCCAGACAGCACAGGCATGGCCCATGTGCCCTCCCAGCACCTGCTGTGATGGCATCAAGGCCTCACAGCCCCTGCTGCACCACACCACTCCAAGCCCCTGGGTGAGCCCCCTGGAATTGTCTGCATGCCACAAGCCCCAACAGGAAGAAGGGAAAGGAGGGGAATCTGATGCTCAGTGCCCACTGTGTGCCAGGCTCTGGGCTCAACCCTCTGATATCCACACATCTCATTCTCCCAGCCTGTGTGGACGGTGGGGTTAAGCTCATTCTTTAGATGTGGAAATGAAGGCTCCAGGAGACCACAGGACACGCCCAAGGCAAAGAGTTTATAGTTCCTGGATTTGGGAATCAAGTGCAAGTCTATCTACTCCCAGGGTAGGACATGTCTCTAAAACGTTGATCAGTCTGAAGCTTACAGACTGGAAACCGGGCCAGGTCAGCCAGGGTGGTGGAGTCCAGAGATAGAGATAAGGCTGCAGGCAGGGGAGAGAACAGCGAGGATCCGGGGCCAGGGTGACTTCAGTGACATTCCCTCCCTCCTTAAGCACGAGAAATCGTTCGGATAAAGGACAGCTTCTGCCTTCCCTACCAGGCAGACAGGACACTCACCGTGCCAGCATGAGCAGACACAGCCAGAGGCTCAAGTGCCCTTGCTGAGTGTCCCACTGCTCTTGGGGAGGCCCCAGCACAGCCTGCAGAGATGCAAGTGAGGAAGTGCCCGGTGCCCTCGGCAGAGAGATGGCAGAAAGCAGAGGGAGGAAGGGGGAGCTGACCGATGCTGGGTGTCTTGTTCCACTGAGGTCAGAACCTCCAACAGGCCGAGCAGACCCAGGCCACGTTGCTCGGGGAACAGGACACCAGGGCGCCAGACTGGAGGCCCGCAACCTTCACTTCTGGCTCCTGTGGGGGCGCTGTACTGTCCAGGCCCTTGGCAGTGACTCTGCCTGCAAGAATGACAAATGCCAACATAACCACATCTTCCTTTTAGTTGCCACAACTATTCAGTTTTGTTTTATCCATCATGTCCCCCATATGCATGTAATGAAACATTTGTGAAAATCACTTTAATAATAAACAGGAAATGAACCTAAATATTGCTCTTTTCTCTTATTCAGCAGAAGTCATGAGTTGGGGGGAAATGCTAACTGGAATCCAGAAAAGAAAAAATAGTGGAAGAAATTTCACGACGCTATGGAGGGCTGAAAGAAAGGAGCTGAGAACCCTCTGGAAAGCAAAGCAGCAAGCCTGAGATCTGCACGCAGAGGCAGGGGGCGCCCACATTTAGGAAACAGGCATGTTCCTGACTGGCAAAAAGCAAAACACCCATATTTCAAATCCCATTTCCCCGCATTACGCATGCCGAAATGAGAGCTGTTCTTTTACACTGGGGCTTTAATCTAAAAGTCGTGGTCACAGTGAGCCTCAGGGAATCTATGACTTCTCGAAATTAGCCATGCAGTGCTGTGTGTGTGTGTGCACACACACGTACAGGTACATATTTATATTTCTCTGGGAATATGGCCCACAGCCTTCCTCAGGTTCTAAAAGAAATCTAGGTCCAGGTGCAGTGGCTCACACTTATAATCCTAGCACTTTGGGGGGCCAAGGCAGGAGGACTGCAAGTGTCCAGGAGTTTGAGACCAGCCTGGGCAACATGGTGACACCCGATCTCTACAAAAAATGAGAAATAAAAACTAAGAACTGAGAGCAAAAGACATATACATGCATATCACAGAAGAATACACAGGAATGGCCAATTACCATTTGAAAAGGTGCTCAACCTCATTGATAATCATGGAAATACAGGCTGCTCTGCCCAGGAATAGCCATGCTTTTGTTTCTGTTTCTTTTTTTTGAGACGGAATTTTGTTCTTGTTACCCAGGCTGGAGTGCAGTGGCGCGATCTCGGCTCACCACAACCTCCGCTTCCTGGGTTCAGGCAATTCTCCTGCCTCAGCCTCCTGAGTAGCTGGGATTACAGGCATGCACCACCATGCCCAGCTAATTTTTTGTATTTTTAGTAGAGATGGGGTTTCACCATGTTGACCAGAATGGTCTCAATCTGTTGACCTCGGCCTCCCAAAGTGTACTGTTACCTTGTGAATTTTGTTAGCTCTAACAGTTATTTGTGGATTCCTTAAGTATTTTCCATATACATGAGCAGGACGTGGTCTCGATCCACCCGCCTCAGCCCTCAAAGTGCTGGGATTACAGGAGTGAGCCACTGTGCCCGGCCCTGTTTCTGTTTCTTTACTCCTCTAATAAACTTGCTTTCACACACACAAAAGACAACAAAAATATACCATGGTAGCACTAGGTTGGCAAAAAAAAAAAAGTGATAAAATCAGAATCAGAGAGGATATAAATCAACTTACTCTATACACAAATGGGGACTCTCTCTTATGTGTGTGTGTGTGTGTGTGTGTGTGTGTGGGTACCAGGAAATACACAAAAATATTCATAGTGTCATATTTTTTAGAGCAAAAAGCTTAAGATAACCCAAGTCTCTTAGTGGAAGACGGAATCATAGTCACATAGTTAAATATTACATAGCTATGAAAATTAATTCACATCCTGCAACAAAAGGGATCTATCTTAAAAACATAATGTGCAGGAACGAGGCCAAGATGTGTGCTCGCATCACGCTACTGGAGGTCTAGTCAGGACAGCTAGGCAGGAAAAAATATATAGGACATCCAGATTGGAAAGGAAACAAAATGATCTGTTTGCACATGTCCTGCTCTTGTATATGGAAAATACTTAAGGAATCCATAAATAACTGTTAGAGCTAATGAAATTCACAAGGTTACAGTACATAAGATCACTATATAAAAGTCTGTTGTAGGCTGGGCACAGTGGCTCACACCTGTAATCCCAGTACTTTGGGAGGCCAAGGTGGGTGGAGAGCCTGAGCTCAGGAGTTCAAGACCAGCCAGGGCAACAGGGTGAAACCTTGTCTCTACCAAAAATACAAAAAATGAGCCAGGCATGGTGGCGCACACCTGTGGTCCAGCTACTCAAGATGCTGAGGTGGGAGGATCGCTTGAGCCTAGGAGGCAGAGATTGCAATGAGCCAAGATCCAGCCACTGCACTCCAGCTTCAGTGACAGAGTAAGACCCTGTCTCAAGAAAAGAAAAGAAATTAAAGATCTGAATTCATGGGTTGGAAGACTATTGTTAAGATGACAATACTCCCCAAATTGATCTACAGATTCAACATGATCCTTGTCAAAATCCTGGCTGACTTCATGCACGAGCTGACATGTGAGTCCTAAAATTCACAGAGAAATGCAGGGGACCCATAGTAGCCAAACAGCCTTAAAAAAGAACAAAGTTGGAGGATTCGACTTCTCATTTTTAAAACTACAAGCTTACATTAATCAAGATTGCACAATACAGGCATAAGGACAGACATATAGATCAGTGAAATAGAATTCAGAGTCCAGAAATGAACCCTTAAATTTATCATCCATCAGTTGGTTTTCAACAAGAGTGCTGAGACCATTCAATGGGGGAAAAATCAGTCTTTTCAACAAATGGTGCTAGAACAACTGGATATTTGCATTCAAAAGAAGGAAGTTGGACCCCAACCTTGTATACAAAAAATTCAACTCCAAGTGATCAAGGGCCGAAATATAACAGCCAAAACTATTAAACGCTTAGAAAAAGACAGATAAATGAATCCTTGTGATCTTGAATTAGGCAATGGCTTCTTAAATGTAACACAGAAATTATAAGCCACCAAAGAAAAAAATACATAAATTGAACTTCACCAAAAGTGAAAACTTGTACTTCAAAGGACATTGTGAAGAAAGTGAAAAAATAACTCACCGAATGGGGGGGACTTTACAAATTGTATATCTGATAAGACTCCAGTATCCAGAATATATTAAGAACTCTTACAATACAACAACAAGACAAATAACCTAATTTTAAAATGAACAGGCCGGCCACCGTGGTTCACACCTGTAATCCCAGCACTTTGGGAGGCTGAGGCAGGTGGATCACCTGAGGTCAGGAGTTTGAGATCAGCCTGGCCAACATGATGAAACCCCCATATCTACTAAAAATACGAAAAAAAATTATCCCAGGTGTAGTGGCGCACGCCTGTAAACCCAGCTACCAACCAGGGAGGCTGAGGCAGGAGAATTGCTTGAACCCAGGAGGAGGAAGTTGCTGTGAGGCAAGCTCACATCATTGCACTCCAACCTGGGTGACAAAAGCAAAACTCCGTCTCAAAAAAAAACAAAAAAATGAACAAAGAAGGCCGGGTACAGAGGTTCATGCCTGTAATCCCAGCACTTCCGGAGGCCAAGGTAAGAGGATCACTTGATGCCAGGAGTTCAAGACCAGCCTGGGCAACAAAGCAAGACCCTGTCTTTACGTGAACAACAAAGAATGGACAAAGGGGCCAGGCATGGTAGCTCACATCTCTAATCCCAGCACTCTGGGAGGCCAAGGCCAGCAGATCACTTGAGGTCAGGAGTTCAAAACCAGCCTGGCCAACATGGTGAAACCCCATCTCTACTAAAAATACAAAAATTAGCCAGGCATAGTGGCAGGCACCTGTAATCCCAGCTACTGGGGAGGCTGGGGAAGGAGAATCCTTTGAACCCTGGAGGCAGAGGTTGTATGGAGCTGAGATCATGCCACTGCATTCCAGCCTGGGTGATAAAGCAAGACTCCATCTCAATAAAAAAGGATAAAGAATATGAATAAACATATCTCCTGAAAAGATATGCAACTGTCCAAAAGCACATGAATGATCGACATGATTAGTCATTAGGGAAATGCAAATGAAAACCGTAAGACACCACTTCACAACCACTAGGAGAACTATAATTAAAAAGTCAGAGAAAGCCAGGCGTGGTGGCTCACGCCTGTAATCCAAGCACTTTGGAGGCCAAGGCGGGCGGATCACCTGAGGTCGGGAGTTCAAGACCAGCCTGACCAACATGGTGAAAACTTGTCTTTTTAAAAAAAAAAAAAAAAAAGCCAAAGAAACACAGACAGAAAATATAAGTATGTACTTACTAGGAAGAATAATAGCCATCTTCAACTGAGGGGAAAAAAATTCCCTCTATCCAAACCTCAAGATCCAGAACTCACAGCTGAGATCAACAGCTAAGATATCCCAACCAGAATGGGGAAAGGCCCTCCCCAGCCATTTCCCAAATAAAACAGAACTCCAACCAAATTCAGGAGTTCTGTCCAAGAGAGACTTACCAGGTGGGAGAAGAAGTGACTCATGAAAGTAGAAGGGTGTCAGAGGGCCCCAATGTATGATTCTCCCCAAGGGGAGTCAGCTCTGGGTCCCACTTCTGACACCATGTATGTTAAAATCAAACATGTAGAGACAAACCTCTAAACTTAATGTGTGTGTAGTTTTTCTTTTGTTTTTTTGTTTTTTGTTTCTGTTTGTTATTTGTTTGTTTTTGGAGACAGGGCTTCACCCTGTTGCCCAGGCTGGAGTGCAGGGGCACAGTCATGGCTCACTGCAGCCTCAACCTCCAGGTTCCAGCAATCCTCTCACCTCAGTCTCCCAAGTAGCTGAGACTACAGGCACACACCACCACACCTGGCTAATTTTTGTATTTTTTGTACAGACAAGGTTTCACTATGTTGCTCAGGCTGGTCTCGAATTCCTGGGCAAAGTAATCTCCCCACCTTGACCTCCCAAAGTGTTGGGATTACAGGCATAAACTACCTGTAAATGCCTGGCTAAAATGTAATGTTTTATTTGGGAAGAAAGAACTGCAATTTACGACATATGTACAGTTTATCCAAAGAACAAAGAGAAGGTTCAAGGTTTTATTTAATACAGAGAAATGGGCCAGACACAGTTGCTCATACCTATAATCCCAGTGCTCTGGGCTAAGGCAGGAGGATCGCTTGAGGCCAGGAGTTTGAGACCAGCCTAAGCATGACAGTGAGACCCCATCTCCACAAAAAAAAAATTTTAAAATTAGCTAAGCATAGTGGCACATGTTTGTAGTCCTAGCTACTCAGGAGGCTGAGGTGTGAGGACTGCTTGAGCTCAGGAATTCAAGGCTGCAGTGAGCTATGATTGCCCCAGTGGCCACCACACTCTA